ACAGTCATGTGGTCTTTGTTTATTGACTTGTGAATAATATTATCACATGATATAGAATTATACGAATCGATGAATAGCGGGTTTTTTTGTTTCTTAGGGGATTTCAATGAAGATTTATGTACGTATTTTTGCTGTATCGATAGATAGATAGATAGATAGATAGGGAAAGATAAAGGCAACATATCTAATGAAATCATGCGGTTAATTATTAAAGGCTATTGTGAAAAGAACACAAGTATATGCAATAGATGATAGTACCATTCATTGTTTAACACATTCATGTATGAAAATAGTTGTGAATGATTGAATTATATGAAGTGTGCAAATTTATTGTTTTTCATGTTCATGATAAGGCATAAAATACAATCTGTTCATGTCATAGATCAAATTGTTGGTTATATAGATTTATTAGATAAGAACTATTTGTTTGAAATTTTATTGGTTAGAGCTTAAACTTAAAATACTTTATTCCATTGTACAGTTTTTCGTATTTCTTTATGATAAGTCTTGCGGATTGAACGCTATATTCGTTTCCTAAGTTGTTCTCGTAACCCCCAAGCTAGAACTAAACAGCGACCTGAACACGATAGAGAGAAGACTCAAAGTATGCGAGAACTAGTTTACTCCGAAATTCATTTTAATACAGAAAATACAGGGTTTTTTATAATATTTTAAATGTCCTTGGGTTGCTAGAAGATTCTGGAATGCTACTAAACAAAGTAGCAGTGTAACAACCAACCAATCAGAGCCTCTGTATGTGACGTTTCGCTTCCTTAATATTTTTGGCAAAAACTTCAAGTGAACGCTGATTGGATGAAACGCTTCTTAGTGTTTCCTGATGCCTGCTTGTCTTTTGCAAGCAATTTTCTGGATCACCCCAACACTTTATAACATCAATGATGTCAAATCATGTTTGTGTTAATAATTTGAGCGGTTCCAACGTTTCTCCCAACCACCTGGGTAGATTTTCGTTAGGAAAATAATAAAAATTATGGAAGATAAATAAAGAAAAAAAAATCCAGTTCCGTACTACATATGCTCGTTCAGTAATTTTCCAATGTTACATTTGTTCCTGTTAAGTATGTATGGTGTTTTGTGTGATCTAATAACTTGGCGTCTAATTTCCACCAACTTACATTCGAATTTCGAGAAATGTCCATATAACTGATGTTAGCTTTTTAGTAAATTATATCTTCTTATCAAGAATAATCAAATATGTGTATATAAAAGAAAATATCGAACCATAACAATTGTAGTTGATGCAAGCCGTGATAATGTCTAAAATAACAAAAAAAGCTTCGTAATCAAGTTGTCCTCCACAGAGAACTCAAGATTATCAAAAAACATTCATCTTAACTATAAATCTTGTACATTTATACGAATATTCGTCAAGATGAGAACGAATCGTTTGACAGAAATTGGGCGCCGAGTAAATAGAAGTCATTATATGTGAAAATTATATTTGAAATAATCTCAGCGATTGAAATTTAAATAATTCCAACGTTTCGTCCAGCTACCTTGTCTGAACTTCTTCAGAAGTCGAAACGTTGGAATTATTTAAATTTCAATCGCTAAGATTATTTCAAATATAATTTTCACATATAATGAATCTTGTACATTGTTTCCAATTTACTTTTACTTTGGCAGGAATAGTCAATATTTTTTTTTACCAAACATTCAGGAGTTTTTCAAATGATAATTCATGATTTACTGTTGCGTTCAAGTTCTGCGCCACTGCATATTTAGATTTAAACATTCAGGGTAATATCACTAATCTTCACACATACAACGCGATTTCATCTTAAAATATGCAATACACAAACCTGTGCTTACATTTGAAAGTGATAAATTTGTTTCATAACGGCTTTCAGTATCCTACCGTAAATATGTCAGCCTTTCAACACGTTTTTTTCTTTTCACTCTAGAAACAAAATCAAATCTTTAAATAGATTCTCTTTGTTTTCTTCGATTCATCAATGTTATGTAGGACAAATATAGATAGCTGATATGTTGTTATCTTTTTTTTTTTAGAAAATTTTCTTTATTTTCAAATATACATCCATAGAAATTATTTCATGTTAATTGTGAGATCAATCATTTGTTTATTTAGTGAATTTTCTGATTTACAAGTTATGTAATTATTGTGTAAAAGGTATAATATATGTATTATATTATTGGTAAAATTGTAAACTTGGCAACAATAAAAAAAAGTAATTTGTCACGTATATGCTAATTGAGATTTGTATTCCTAATGGCTTTCTTTCAATTATATATATATATGTATGTATGTATAAATAAATTGAACATTGGTTAAATAGTTTGTCATCGTAATACTATTTATTTATTCTATCCAAATGAGCATAAGAAAATTGAATTCTCAAAGTTTTTGCAACTTAATGTGATTTACTACTTCAGAGAATAGGTTATAGCCTTTTTACATTTACAATTATATATCCTATGTCTCTCATATTTATAATGCCTGTTTCTTAAGTTCTCTACTTGTTACTTGTAGATTGATTGAATGTATAGTATTTAGTAACTTTTAATAAAAAAGAAGAATAATTTACTTATTGTTTAATGGTTTCTTTTTTTGTTGTTGTTGATCAACTTGTTTATTATGTGAAATAGATAGATTATTAGTAGTAGTCCACATGGTAAGATCATTTTACTGATCAACTTAGTTATGGTTCTCATACACTGTATATTAGTAGATGTATTTTATTGATAAGGCTTTTCTCACATACGTACCGAGTAAAGTATACCCCCAAATGCTCTGGTACGGCCGAGAGTGGAGAGAGTCCTCTCTCTCTCTCTCTCTCTCTCTCTCTCTCTCTCTCGAAATGCTCTCACATGGCCACGCGTATATGGCCTCTACCAGGGAAATCCTACTCACTGCCTTCTCGTGGCACTACTGTTGTTTACGAAAATGAGAGGACGAAAAGTGAATGTCCGGCGTCTTAAACGGATTTCAAACCAATGGTGCACATGGGCTGCAGTGCCGTGAGGGGACAAATGGCGTATGAACCAATTGTTGGTCACCGGCTTACATGGGACTGCATCTTCTCACGATGCTCCACTGCCTTGTGGGTCAGACCTTTAGGTCAAAGGCTCGGGAAGTGGCCCCCTAAGATAACCACCTGCTTCGGTTTGGGCACCCGGGCAGTATCACAGCCCTCACATATATCGAATGAGATTTGTGTGGCGCATATGTATTTGGTGCCCTCTTGTACCAATATCTATGTGTTAAATTAAATAAATAAATTTTTCTAACCCTATGGGCGATATTATCCTCGTTGATGAGTTATTTCGTTTTAGGTGACATTTTGTATTTGTGTCAACAGTTCTTTTTGGATCATTTCCAGCTGTTAGTATAAATGGGACGATGGCCAAGTAGTTAAGGTGTTAGATTTTCAACCACTAAGTCACAAGTTCCTATTTTGCACTACCCACTTCGATTTGAGCGACTGGATAGTATCATTAGCACTTACACTTTGTAGCTTTGAAGTTAATTACACAAATCTGTATCTGATGAGATGAATTTAAATGAATTTGCCTTTTCAGTTAAATTTTCCCATATTTTTTTGCTATTATCCAGGAATTTGCTATAAATGACAAAATAAAGGAGTCATAGAGTTAGCTGAGTCAAATCTTCGTTATTCCTGTTTTTCTTCTGTTTTTCCACAGTCTTTTCTTACTCCTGTTTGTTTTGTTATCTTCCCTCTTGTTTTACATCTGTTTGTTGATTTTTTCTCTACAGACTGATAATGTTAAGTATGTGATGTATTTGCAATTGATACTATTGTTCTTAGGTCTAAGAACACTTTCATCTATATGTTTATGTATACAGTTTCATTCAATCAGTCACATACAACTCAACACAGTATAAATTGTTAAATGTTACATGAACTCGAGGTTGAAAATTAGCAAGTTGAGGAACAGACAAAAGGGAATTAATATTAACCGTAATAGAAAGCTATAAACTGCAAGTATTTTGATGATAGGTACCATCAAAGAATTCCGAATATATAGTGGGATCACTAAGTGAGTTATTTTGTAGCTGTGAGCAGAGAACTAGATAAAGGATGTAAGTCCACCTATTAGTCTACAAGCGTTCATCGACTAAGTTAATGTATGTGTTTCGTTGTACTCATAATCAGTTATTTTGAGATATATGGAACAGAGAAAAATAGGTCACAGTGACAGTTACATTCACTTATTATATTCTCTCGAATCTTGAGTTAAAGTATCATCGCTAAATTTTCATATTTTGATCTTATCTTTCTTAAGTTTTTTCACGTTTAAATTTTTGTCGTTTCCCATATTATTTACCTTTCTATATTCTTGTATTGTTTAATATCGTTTAGCCGCTCTGATGCGAGGTATGACAACTTCAACCGATGTATGCTGGTGTCAAGTCCTACGTTGTTAATGACTGACTGATCACAAATGATATTTGCTCATGTCAGGAATAGGTTTTCATATTATTCTTCGAGGGAATGTTTTCGTCTAAAATACTGTAACTTAACGGTAAAATTAATTAATTATTCCTGAAGACTACTTTTTTCATTGCTCTTTGTTGGATCTGACAGTTGGGTTTACATTACATCTAAATTAAAAATAATCAAGATTATTATAAAATTCACGGGAACCAATGTGAACTCGACAATACGGTAACTGATACATAACTCATTAACACCAGTCTTCGAACGGTGGAACCAATGGTATTAACGAATCGAAAAAAATAGCGAAAGTAATACAAAAATATGTATTCGAAAAAACAATCAGAATTTATTAACAAAAATGAGATAATTCAAGATTTTTCTAACACTCTCCATTTGTATTAAAAAAAGCATATGCATAAATTCAACTCTTCTGATCTGTTGAACAATATGTTAAAGTAATGCCTTCATTGTATTCACATATATTCACGTATAAATTTGATTATTAAAAGCAAATCACTAATTGTGTTTATGTATTGCTTTCTTTTTGCTGGTTTTTAGAATTTTAATGCTGCAACATCTTTTACCACCCCAAGCAATACAAGAAATTCGTCAAATATGGCAGGAAATGAATAGGCTTATTAAATGTGATTCAGAAATGTCTCTGAAATCGTCAGTTTCCACAATACCAGTTACTACTACTGCTGCTGAAATTCCGAATTCTTCATCGCATAATGTGTCAAATGTCGTACGTGAAAATTTTGCTCGTCGAGTTCGACAAATTGTTAGACAGTATCTTGGGCCTAAAGCATTTATCACCGATAATTTACCTGAACCTCGGTCAGAAATAGATTCATGTTTTAAAACAGATGATATTGTAATGCTTCAATCGGACAATAATCAACAGTTGGGATTATCAACGTTGGATTATGATGAAAATGGTGAGTTCAATGATACATTTTATTTCGAATTATTATTATTTCAAGAAAAGAAAATCAATTCAGTATAAGAATGATTGTTTTACATGTATTTATGAATCCTATATCATAGATGTACTAGTGATATGTGATACTACATGAAATATCTCATTCGTTATCGGCAGCTACATCATGTAAAAATACTAGATTTAATGAGATCAGTGAAATTAAGCAATATTGCCTACCGGTAAATAAAACTTAGGTTTTGCTACCATTATGTCTTATGTTTGAATCACACTTCATGTACTTTGGCATCATTCTAGCCGTTACATGCAAGTATGTTTGGACTTAAAGTCGAATATGAAATTCCGTACTTAGTACATGGGTGTTGTAACTTGAAACTATATACATTCATATCCCAGGTCTTACATCATTACTTATGACTAATTAATGGATTGAATATCTCCATCATACTATTTATATGTTGAGTATCGCTGCTTTCTAATGGGCGTCCTTGTTTCTGTCATATTTAAGTTGCTATTCGCTTTTACTTACTCAACTCGCCAATAAATTTCGATTAAATTTTCTTTCTACCCCGCGTATGCTACTACGTTTATAGTCTAGCGTCCTAAGACTTGATCAATAATACGTTCTAATTGATACGAATAACCTTGAGCTAAAGTAAACATCACTCCTATTGGTCCATTAATTCGAAATAATAAACTAGCAGCTTACCTTCTGTTCTCATATTTTAACCACCCAGCCTATATGTATCTGCTTCTATAGAAGCAGATATGGAAAAGATGAATTACAACTGGAAGGATCTGGAAAGGATTGCCCAGGACAGGGTTGGATGGAGAATGCTGGTGAGCGGCCTATGCTCCTTCACGAGGAGTAACAGGCGTAAGTAAGTAAGTAAGCCTATATGTATGAATTATTGGGCCTCAGCCCGACAGTTGTTCCTACCTTGACATGGTGGTCGGGCTTGCCTATCGTGATGAAGCAATCGAGCTATACTGGCTGGAACAACCGTTTCTCAAGATCCTACCATGTCAGACAGGTCGCTTGAAGAGCGGTAAGACTAAAAGCAACAAACTGAAGGTCCGAAGGCGAAGTCGTACTGTTGACTATGCAGAGGTGTGACAGCAGTAGGGTGTTTCCTTCAGACAACCAGCATGACAACGATGCTGCCTTCCCACAAGGAGGGATGTGGTTAAAAAAGGTCGACCCTAAAAGTGCACACCTCACTTTATCCCATGAATATCCGTTTCCGACCGTAAGGTCTCAACAAGTACAGAGTTAACACGAAATTACTCATAAAAAGGTGTGTGACCGACCACAAACAGTTGTTTCTTGGGCACTGCGGTTACGCTCTCAGGTCACTAAGACCACCTCTAATCCAATTTCCTTTTCAGATACCTCCAGAAGAACCCTTCCACGGTGTGGGCAACCGGAAATTGATAACCGCCCTCATAACTCTAACAGCACTCAAGACCACTGTATTCATAATCAACCTCCCTCTTAAATTCCTATTATTCCTCCTACATCGACTTTTCTTGGGCCTCAGCGCACCCCACATAAGGGATCATACTTTCCATACAATCATGCCATAAACGGCAATGAACGAAGCTAACAATACGTAATTAGTCAGTAATAATTAAGGAAATAATAAAACGTATGACAATAGTTAGTAGGTCTATAGGCAGCTGACAGTAAAGGGAATATATAAATACAATAATACAGTTATCTACTAACTATTAATTAAAAATATCGATGATAATAAACAGTAGATCATTACCAAAAACTAAATTTGCTTCAATATTCACTCACCCACAACAATCTCCATTTTTATTAAGGATCAGTGTGTATTAGAATAAATCTCATTAGAGGTTTATTTCACTGGCGTTTCGAGATTTTTAGATTGCCTACCGTTTATTCTATGGCATCGTTTCTATTCTCCTTGGTATTGTACTTACAAATGCTGTTTCTTTTCAATATAAAGAATAAGTATTATAAATGCTTAGTCCACCCTACATAGGCTGATAGTTAGCCAGTGGTATAGATCTTTAACTTGGCAGAAATATTTCGCATAATATTGGAAATTGTCAAATAGTTAACAAATGTTTGTATCATCAATTTCAAGAAGCAATTAGTATAAAGTTTAACTATTTGACTTTTCTATATGTGGTAAACCTAGAAAAATACTTTTAATATTAATATTTTTGGTCGATTCAATAAATCATCCCGAAATAATATCTAATTGTCATTAATTGAAATTCCCAACCAACCACACCGAATTGTGTTATTACTGACCACCTTGATCTCATTTTGGTAATACTATCCGGTTGACTAAACCACAGCAGATATAGTGGGATTTGGACATGCGGTTCTGTGTATACTAGTCGAATTCTCTAACCACCGAGTCACTTCCTCACAAGCCTGGAGAGTTTCCAACAGTTCGCACCTACGGTATCATCAGGGGTACACGGGCGACAAGCCTATTACTCTTAGTCAGTTTGATAATTTTCACCTAAATAGACACCTGTTTGTGGTGATGATTTACTTGATGATTGTTTTCTTGTTTTGTTTTGCTTTTTTTTTACTCCAAAGAAAAAAAATCAGCTTCCAATTCTGGCATCAACGTCATTGAAGGAACGAATGCTTCTTTTACTAGTCCTTTTATTCTGTCAACAATACCATGTACTAAGTCACTGTGCGCTAGTGTTGGTAGCAGTGATACAAAATCGTCTACCATTGAAATGTTTTCATCTGAAATAACAGACAAACTGTTTCGCAATGAAACCAATATTGTAGAAAGTAATTCAGGTGTATTATGTCCTAATGTTACTGCGACTTGTGTAACTTCATCTAAAGTAAGTGACACAGGGAATACGGTAAGTTGGTTGTAATTGTTATGCTTGATTCAATTTGATTTCTTTAAAAATCGTCACAATCGGTTGATCACTAAATTATATCGACCAAATATCGTGTTTGTCTACTTTTTTAGTGATAGTCAAATTCTATTGACCAAGTTGTAACATAGACAGTGATCAGGTTAGTTCAAAAACGCGTGCGTAGTAGTTAAAAATGGTCATCAGGACAGAAGCATCAGTTTCCCCAAGTTTGTATGTACACCTTTTTAACGAGTCCCAACACCATTGGCCATGGATAGTTATCTTCCCACTACTCTCAACCATCTAAGACCTCGAAAAACGTTTTAACTGTATTGAATTTAGTGTGTAGAATTCTTATTATGATAAAGGTGCTGTTTAAGTTTTTGCTCATATTAGTTTGTTTAAACTGCAGTAGTTGAAATCAGTCTACATAGTTCTAAAAATTGTTAGCAATCCAGATAATTTTGTCTTATGTTTTAAATATTGATAGCATATTTCTTTGTAAGTGCCTTCGTGACTTGATTTTAATGAAAACGTAATTAGATAAAGTTATAGAATTTGATCCATGAAATAGTGTTTTGCATAAATTTTTAGTGATGTGGATCGGATCAATTCGCTCGTCACTCACCTTCTATTTTCACTTATTTCTATGTATTTTATTGTGGGGGTAATTTTTCTGTTAAGTCTTACGACTAATTTTGAACATGATAAAAAGGTTTCGAACATGATCAGCATTTTAGCATGGAGTTGATTGTTCTTTGTCTACTCCTATTGTGTAAGTATTTATCACAGTTTCTTGTTTCTATCCACTGTTTTGCTAAAAGGTTCAGGAAATATCTGCATCTTGTAATGAAACTGTGAGTGATTCACCATTGTCGTCATGCATAAAACAGACAGATGAACTGATTGTTTCACAATCACTTAATAATAATAATAATAATAACAACATTAATAATAGTCATTCTAGTGAAACTCCATACACATCATCTACTGGTAATTTGCCGCGAGTATCAACTAATTCACAGTGTTGTATGCTTGAATGGTTATTGTCTGAAGAAGCTGATCTTTGTATATTACCACCATCATTATGTCAGTCGAAAGTTGGAGATAAGCCACAGCACCAGTCAATCTCTGGAATCTCACCACCACCATCATCGTTCCACAGTCAGGTGATTTCACCAAGAGCATCATGTTGTATGGCATCTTCTAGTCAAACGCACAGTTTTCAGTATGGTTCACCTGTTTTGACAGAAGTTGCTTACAGCCCACTATCCATGTCCCAACAGAAAATTAATTCCGAACTACAAATTAATAATCGTTCATTATCTTCCAATAATAGTGGTTCATTGATTGCGACGACTACTACTGTTGGTGCTGGTACTGTTACTTCGTCGGCGAATTTGTCTTATATTGAAATTCGATCTTCTCCGCAACCACGAACTGAGAGTTTATTAGTTGTAAGTGTTTAGTCGATTTGATATGTGTTTATTTTGGAATCTCTGTCTATCATATACTTGATAGTCATGCACTTAATCATATTTGTGTAGGTTTGCAAAATTTTCCCTCATGTTATTTTTATTCAGTGTTGAATGACTAATTAATCACGTTCTATATTAAAATTCTGACCGCTTAAATGACCTACATTTCGTGGTTTCTCATCAGCTGCTTACAACCACTGATATGTATTAGTATTTCACATGGAGATAAGAAATAGTATGAAACAATTGACATAAGTGAATGTAAAGGATTGGAACGACAAAGGTTACCAATGATAACTAGATATATATGCAAGAACAGGTCAGAGGTTATTAGGTGTTAGAATCAAGTGGTGGAGTTCAGAGACAGATAAGATAAATTGTGTGGTAATTTTAGAGGTAATAAAGGATTCATGGAATTAAAAACTGATAAGATAGGTTACGTAATAATTGAATAGAATTTGAAGAGTTCACATAATTAAAGAGAATCAGGTGAGTGGCGATGTGTAAATGATAGAGTAATCGGGGGGGGGGGAATATAACACAAACTAAAGATTAACAAAATAAAACTAATAGGCAAAAACAAAGAAAAAGCAGTAAACACACAAAAAATGGATTACCAAGGTAGTAATAAGTTTATTATTGTCTCGTTTTGAATACATAGATCCGCTTTAAGTTTTTTTTTATCGCGATCGCTTCATCAAAACAGAGAGCAACCATACTTCTTTGTTTGCTAATAATTTTAAAAACATGAAAGATGTCAATGGTATGTCCGATATCAAGTAAATGCCGAGCTATTGCACTGTTGAGAGCCCTAGTTCATCGCAGCCTCAATTTCTTTGGAACATGCTCAGAAATGCGAACATGTAATCTTCTCTCGACTCTTCCATTGTATGTGCTTTGGCACGTACATGTAAATTGGTAAATGCAGTTGGAGCTACTGAGAAAAGAGAACTTGTCGGCTTTAGAAGCTGACGAGGAACCACGAAATGTAATGAATGCATATTATTCTACATCAATATTTGCTCTTGGTTTATTTAAAAACATGAATTCTACTGGTTTTGGAATTCACCAATTAAATGTGATTAAATGCAATATACTGTCGATATTTACACTTTATTAATAAATAAATTCGTTGTAACTTGTTTATCAAAGTACACAATTATCTATTCGGCTTAAAGTTCAACAGTTTGTACAGTTTGACAATACTATTCATCTAATTGAACTGCATTAGAAATATCCGTATGGTATTAGATCCTGCAAATAATTGATTCAACATTGAATGTTTCAACATGGTAAACCCTATCGTATATTCTTCCTTTCATCATTATCATCTGAATTTTAACTTGATAATTCCTAATGAAGATTATCAATTGTACAATGGATTAATTTATCGTTTTCCAATTCAACGCGTTGTATGCGTATATATATAAATATATAATACATCCAATTTTCAATTCTTCTTCTTCTTCTCCTTCTTCTTTTTCTTCTTCTTCTTCTTCTTCTTCTTCTTCTTCTTCTTCTTATTATTATTATTATTATTATTATTATTATTATTATTATTATTATTATTATTCAGTGTATAGAAATAACCACCACATTAATTGTCATTTACTTCTTGCACAATATTTATCTGAAAAACTCAACCGTATAAATATTGTGTATAGTGAGCATTTAGATTTGGTCTATTTAATAGAAAAACAGAACATACTATATATATATATATATATATATATATATATATATATATATATATATATATATATATGATTGAAAGTGTAAAGAGAGCTACTACTGTCTAGTGGTTGGATTTTATGATAATTTGCAATTATTAAGTTGCAGTTTTGAATCTTGCTATTCCATCTACATCGATTTGAACAAGTGTATAACTCGAAACTGAGTACATCTATCATGTTCTATCAGTAAAACGACGAGTATATTGCGCGGCAGTCCGTTCTGTTTTAATTTACGGCAGCGAAACATGGCCATTAAGAGTAGAAGACACTCGTAAGCTACTAGTATTTGACCACAGATGCATTAGAAATATTGCTCGCATCTTCTCGGATCACTGGGTAAGTAATAGTGAGGTTAGATGCAGGGTATCAGGGAGTGATGATAATTCACCTGATGAGGTTGTGAATCTTCATCGACTGAGATGGTTGGGCCACGTGTTACGTATGCCTGAATACCGATTACCACGACGTGAAATGCTATCCGGTATTGGAGATGGTTGGAAGAAAGTTAGTGGCGGCCAAACCAAAACGTGGCATCAGTGCTTGAAGTCACTAACTTCTAGTCTGAGCCATGTTGGTAGATACTACTGGACTACTTAGTCGGGGTCTGCGTGACTGTCGTAACCAATGTTTGGAGATTGTGGGTGACATGGCTCAGAATCGGTCACAATGGCGTCGGTGTATACACTCTTTATCTTCCCTTAAACTATGAGATTAAAATTGCTTCATATCTTTCTTTCTACGAACTAATTCTTTCTTCCTGTACTATATCCTTATATGCAATCTTTCTTTTATATATTACCACCTCTAAATCAACTACTTTTATGAATCCGGTGTCCATCTTGTTGTGTTAATGAGGTATGACAACTTGGACCGATGCATAAATATGCCTGGTCCTACGTTGTAGCTGACATGACTGACATCTATCATGTTCCATATATAATACAGTATAAATAACCTTACTATCTTAGATAATTTTTCGACACCCCCCTACCCTACGATAGATTACTACCTGTAAAAAAAAACCTACCTAGAAATAAAATTGTACAGTTTCAGAAAATAATATTGTCAAAAAGAAAATTTCTTTCATTGAAAAGTTTTTATTGTTTTTTTTTTAATATGGAATTTTTTCCAATCTTAAAACTGTGCAAGTAATCTTTTGAGTCATTGAGCAAAGAGAAAAAAAAAGTGACTGTTCAACGAAGAAATTATTCCTTTGTGATTAGTATCATATACTGTTGAAATTGTACAATCGTACTTATAATAATAATAATAATAATAATAATAATAATAATAATAATTGTGTCAATAACAAATTTATCACACGTTTTCTAATGTGGAATATTAGTTACATAATGTTAATAATTATTCAGAATGGTATTCAATAACTTTAACAGGAGAATTATATATGCAAAAAGTGACCTTATCTCCATCTGTTCACGTGATAAATATAAACAGGATTAAAAAGAGACTTATGTTTACATGTCTTATTAATAATTTTTAAAATTAAGTGTGGAGAAGATTTGTAGCTCAGGTGGATGATTTTGATGGAGTTTTGTTCTCTGAGCTGGATGGTTTGGTCGTGGAGCTTTCATCGTTCTTCTGAACGACATCATCAGCACAAACTTCAATCAATCCAATTTATCAACTAATCAGGAAAATCATGCAGAAATATAGGAACAAAAATCAAACCAATGGGAGACACAACCAAAACAAAGAAGTGAACAATGATAAATTTAAGGTCAATTACAACCAATCAACATCGAGGTGCACAGAACAAGCTGTGAAACACATATGGAGAAATTCGAACACTTCACTTCTATCTGAAGTTTGTGCTGATGATGTCGTTCAGAAGAACGATGAAAGCTTCACGACCAAACCATCCAGCTCAGAGAACAAAACTCCACCAAAATTAAGTGTGTTGATGAAGACTAGACGAATAAGTCAGTCAGTCAGTCAGTCAGTAACAACGTAGAACTTCGTACGTACGTACATCAGTTCGAGTTGCCACACCACATTAGCACAGAGATGCAGTGGTCGATTCAAATCCCATAGTGGTAGAGGTAATAAGAGTATAAGCAGTAATCGGGAAGATTAAGGTTTGGAGATGTTATTTATAGAGTATAATCCAGTGAAATAAATTTGGAAAGAGGAAAAAAGGGACATGAATTCAGAAGATTAGAATTTGAGAGAACACAGAGAGTGGATGCACCTGCGCCATTGCAAACGATTTTGAGCCATGTCATTCAGGGTCTCTAACCATCGGTTGCTGTCATCTCGCGGTCCCCAACCAGGTAGTCTACACCTACCAACATGACTCACTCAGTTCACTTGTCAGTGACTTCATGGACTTGTGCCATGTTTTGGTTTGGCCGCCCCTAGCTTTCTTCCAACCTACTCCTATACCACTGAACATAGCACGTCGAGGCAGTCGGTCGTTGGGCATACGTAACACGTGTCCCAGCCATCTCAACTGATGAAGTTTCACTACTTCATTAATTGATTTGCCATCCTTACCTAGTACCCGTTTCCTAACAACTGTGTTACTTACTCGATGGTCCCAGGATATACGAGCAAAGTTTCGAAGACACCTATGATCAAATACTAGTAACCTACGAATATCCTCTACTCTTACCAGCCATGTTTCACTGCCATAAAGTAGGACGGGACGAACTGCTGCGCAGTAAACACGTCCTTTGGTTGATAGACGGATATCTCGCCTACGCCATAAATGACGCAAGTTGGCAAAAGCTAGTTGACCTTCTGTATCCGTGCTGAGATTTCGTCACACACCAGACCACAAGGGCTGATGAGACTTCCAAGATAAGTGAAGCGGTCGACACACTCAACTACTTCACTCCTTATCACTAGTTCGGGTGTCGATGTAATCCAATCCTGAAGCAAAATTTTGCATTTCGAGGGAGAGAATCGCATCCCGAACATGCTTGCATTGTTGCTTAGAGTGGTCAGAAGACTCTGCATTTTGTCAGCGTCTTCACCAAATAAAACTATGTCATCAGCATATTCTAAGTCAACAAGTGAACCTCCCGGTAGAAGTCCAACCCCTGGAAATCTAGATGACGAAAGTGTTATCTCTAGAAGTACGTCCACGACAAAGTTGAACAAGAATGGGGAGAGTGGACAGCCCTGACGAACACCACTTGAGGTAATCAATTCTGATGACAGTTCGCCATAAGCTCTCACTCTACCAGTTGTGTTCGAGTAGAGAGCCTTTATAAGGTTAATGTACTTCTTTGGTACTCCTTTCAGTGACAAACACTGCCATAGAACCTCACGATCAATGGAGTCGAATGCCGCCTTAAGGTCGAGAAATACTACCATTGTGGGGCGTCTGAATGTGTGTCTGTGTTCTAGAACCTGACATAGTGTGAATATCTGGTCTGTACAATTACGTCCAGGTCGAAAACCAGCCTGGTTTTCTCTAGTCTGCTCTTCACGAGCTCTAGTTAGGCGTCGAAGTATTATTGAAGCTAATATTTTAGACACTATATTAGTCAAACTGATTCCTCTGTGATTGTCACAAGAGGACTTTTGTCCTTTCTTAAAAACTGGCACAATCAGTGATTGAGACCAGTCAGATGGGATTACGTCCAGTTCCCAAATTCTACCTAAGACCTCAGTTAATCTCACTGCTAACACTGAACCACAATCGTTAAAAATCTCAGGAGTGAACCTGTCAGGGCCTGCTGCACTCCCTCGCTTCAGATTTCCGATAGCTTTTTCAACTTCATAAAGAGTCGGAGGACCTACATTAACTTGCCACTCAGGTTGACTGGAGATCGTGGGAAACCGAAGTGTGGCTGAAGGCCAGTTGAACTGATCCCTAAAGTGTTCTGCCCATCGATCCAATCTCCTGGATTGAGAATGAATAATATGTCCATCTTTCTCTGAGATTGTTTCGCTAACGGTCGGGTTCCTAATTCCGGTTTCCTTAACGAGTCTGAACAATTGTCTGCTATTACCTATTGCCGCTGCCTTTTCCATCTCTCTTGCTTTCGCCACCCACCACTGTTCGCGATCATTGCGTAGGCTTCTGGTCAGCTTGCGCTTAAGCTGACTCCGCTCTTCATTATGTTCAGAGCCAGGTGGAATGAGTTTCCGAGCATCTATCAGTGAGATAGATGCTGTTGAGATCCAGTGTTGCTCCCTAACCTTGTGGTTTACCTTACTAGCAGATATCACTGCTGTTTCCACAGCTTTTCGGATATCATTCCATGCTGCATCGGGGTGGGCATCACATACATGGCTGCCTAGCTGTTTTCCTAGTTATTCCTGAAATATACTCTTAGGCTGACTATCGTTAAGTAGGGCCCTAAGAGGTTTACTTGCAGCGTCTTTTCTACGTCCAGTAAGACGCAGACAGATACGCGCTCGCACTAGAGCATGATCTGAATCTAAGCATGTGCTCCAGAATGAGCGACAGTCTTCTATCGAGCCCCTCCATCGGTGGCTGATAGCGATGTGATCTATTTGGGTCCAACGTTGGGACGAATTAGGGGGTCGCCATGTTAAAATCTGTTTTTGCTTATGCTTAATGTTAGTATTTGCAAGAAAGAGGCGGTTATCTGGGCATAGCTGCAACAGACGGTCGCCATTATCTGTTCTTTGAGCCACGATGCTATTAGATCCACCCAGGTGTCTTTCCCTTTCGCTTAGTTTACCTACTTGAGCATTAAAGTCACCGGCCACTATTACTACATCCGAGCGCCTAGCTTTTCGGAGAAGGTCGGAAAGCTTTCTGTAAAACTCATCTTTTACGTCATCTGAGCTGCAGTCAGTGGGAGAATAGGCAGAGACGACGAAGAGGCAACGACGAGTGTCCCTATCTTTCCGAGTCCTTATTGTTCCGTTCAGTCGGACAGCGCACAAACGACTGTCTACTGGGATCCAGTCTAAAAGAGCTAGTTCTGCCCTAGGACTCAATGCTATACCTACACCGGCGAGGCCACGAGAAGTAGCATCTGGGCTTCCAGGTACACGAAGTGTGAATCGAGTTGGTTCTTTATTTTGACATGGTGAGGTCAAATGAATGACGCTACTTGGATCCTGTATGCGCGTTTCGGAGACGCAGCACACATCGATGGCGCGAGATTCTAAAGTTTTAGCTAAGGAAGCCTGCTGTCCTATTTGGCAAAGTGTTCGTACGTTAAAAGCTCCTACGTGTAGTTTAGAGCATGGTTTCAGGAGACCAGGAATGGCATTCCACGTACTCGAATCGTTTGCTCTAGCGGTGCGAGGTGATAAAGAGACGGGAGGAGGGTTAGTCATGGAGATAAGAGAGGTATTAGGAGGTGTAGGAAGGATTTGAATGTGACCAACTTGGTCACGTAGCTGTTACGGGTATGAGGGCTGATATCAATTCCCGGTTGCCCACACCGTGGAAGGGTATTTCTTGAGGAACCTGAAAAGGAAATTGGATTAGTGTTGGTCTTGACGACCTGGGAGCGTGACCGCAGAGCCCAAGGGACAACTGCTTGAGGCTGGTCGCGCACGGCCTTTTTGTGGAAGGTTTTTGACGTGTTAGCTCCGTTGTTCAAAGGGCCTTGCCGCCGGAGACGGAAATCCGTGAGGTAAGGTGAGGTGTGACATTTTTAGGGTCGACCTTTTCTAACCCCACCCCTCCTTGTGGGAAGGCAGCATCGCTGTCATGCTGGATGTCCGAGGGAAACACCTTACTGCTGTCACACCCCTCTACAGTCAGCAGTACGACTTCGCCCTCAGACCTTGAGTTGCTGCTTTTAGTCTTACCGTTCACCAATCGACCTGCCTGGCATGGTAGAACCTACAGGAACATCTGTTCCAGCCAATATAGCTCGGTTGGGTCATCACGATAGGCAAGCCCGACCACCGCGTCAAGGTAGCAGCTTCGATCGGGGGACGAATAAGTGATTGTGTTTGTCACTTTTTTTTTTTTTAAATAATACTCACTACGTTAGTCTTTCTCATTACGACTGAAACTTATATTATGTTGACAATTTTACTTCTCAGTTTGTTAAGTACATCTTATTTTTCTGATGTGATATAGCAACTAGGATTGATTCATATTTGTGCCATGCTATACATTGATTATGACTAACTAAATTATTCGATCAAAAGACGAATAAGTGATTGTGTTTGTCACTTTTGATCGAATAATTTAGTTAGTCATAATCAATGTATAGCATGGCACAAATATGAATCAATCCTAGTTGCTATATCACATCAGAAAAATAAGATGTACTTAACAAACTGAAGAGTAAAATTGTCAAAATCATATAAGTTTCAGTCGTAATGAGAAAGACTAACGTAGTGAGTATTATTTAAAAAAAATTCTCAGGTTCTTATTGTAGATGACAATTCTAAGCTCACCCGTGTGCACTGTCTTCCTTGACTGTTGGTTTCTCAAGAATTTAGCTACCATATCTCCTTTTGAATTCAATATTCATGAATATCTTCGGCACTGTAGGAGTTCTTTCCTTCCTTAGCTTGAGGTTCTTCCCTGTCATTAAACCTGGTATGAGTACTATTTTCCTCAAATGTTTGTTGGGTTTTATTGAACTCATTATCAATTGTGTCCTCGTGCATACACATTTAAGTCTCGTGGATAAAGAGTATGAACTTATTATCTATTCCTCTTGACTAGAATTCGACCTTAAAGTTTGTACACTTATTCTAGGTTGGTCTTGCATAGAAAATGCCTCTTAGTCTTTGTCTCAACAAAATATCAAAATAATAAAATTCTGAGTTCATATTTGAGTCCAGTATACACACGTGACTTATTGTAAACTTCTGTAGGATACTATTAATATTATTTAAGTCTGTCATATTTCTATGCTATTTGTATGTATTCTATCAATAATCGAATTTGTCAATTATGTAAGTCAAAAAATTATGTTATAGTCAGTCATCTACAACGTCGGACTAGGTACATAAATGTATCGGTCCAAGCTACCATTGATGTAACTGCTTCTATGAATTTGTTGTTCATCTTGTTGTGTTAATGAGGCATGACAACTTGGAGCAGTGGATATATGTACCTGGTCCTACGTGAAACATTATCAACTTCTATTTGTTACTTTAAATTTCTTGACAAATTTTTTAAAATAAATGATACTGTAACTTTTCCTTATATTTACCATAGACAACTCTATATTATTTATAAACTATCAGTACTTGTATATCCTTATGTTATAACTTGTGACCGCCGATTAATGTGCAGTGACTTATCGATCAGATCAATGACACATAATACACGTGTGAGCGGCCTAGAATCCTGATTGGTCCTGCTCTCCGTCTAGCTCAGCCAGTTATGTCCAGAATTATTCATGCCCCTTTTTTTCCTCTTTCCAAATTTATTTCACTGAATTATACTCTTTAAATAACATCTCCAAACCCTAATCTTCCCGATTACTGCTTATACTCTTACTACTTCTTTGCCAAACTGTACTCATTTTATTGGTTAGTTTATTAAGAAAATGAGTAAGTGTGTCTGAGAGAGCGAGCGAAATGTAGGTTTAGCTTATAATGGATACACTGTAAACAACTTATTTCGCTTTTCCTAATATCGATCTAATTTAATTATTATTATTATTATTATCCTAAAATATATTATTGACTGAATTCCGATTTATTTTTTATTTCTATTCTCTTTTGTTATTAACAGCGTTTACTGCATCCAGCAAAAAATCACTCTGTTGGGCATCATACAGATATAAATACTTATGATGGAGGAGTAAGTCATTACCACTTCCAATATAATCTGTCAATTGAGTATTTTCATAAAATTAATTGATTTCCGTCTCGCGTTGATTCTGTCAAAGTTTAGTTCAAAGAGTTTGATGGACATTAGTTTTATTTTTAATTTTTAATTCGCCATGGATTGATCTCATCTAGGATGTTATCGAAGATTAAGAAGCACTGGACAACTGCTCACTCATGACCCTGACTGGATCAAACCGAGTGTCCTGACAACGAACTCTTGACAATTAGAACCATTATATTGGGACGATTCACGTGTCCATTTCTCTTTAGTTTTTTACTATACACATCTCAATATTTAGAGGAAACCAAACAATGAATACAATTGGTTTTTACCTAATTAAAGTTTTCAGCTATTAGTTACTACTACTGTATAGGCACATTAACGCAGGATGTATACACCTCTCTACTGACTTGACTGATAACAGTCCATGATGTCATGAATCGATACTATGTCTAACATTCTTCTAACCTACTTTTACACTAGCCAGAATAACTGCTCGTCCATAGAAAGTTTCATTAATTAACCTGATTCTTTCAACACCAACCCTGGTTTAAACTTCTGCATTGAAATAATGCGTTGGTGTATGTATGCTTATCTTTACTTGTAATAGTATTTTAGACATGAGAATTAAACAGTTAATTGTTTTACATTTTCACTGCAAAAATTCTACAATTGTATTTTAGAACAGACTATTTGGTGAGGTCTAGCCAGCATTTCTATACCATACACTTAACGTTTTGTATTTTGATGAAATCAAATATAGGACAGACTGATGAAATTTAAAACATATTATTTGGAAGTTAATTTAGAATGATAAATGGTGTTGTTTTATGTTGGCAATAGTGTTATAGTGATATATGTAAATGGACCTTCAATAAGTATTTCATGAATATTTTTATTTATTTTAGCATTTACTGAAGTTATCCTCTCCAACATTACCACGTTCTGTAGCTGTGACCTCTCAATTTGTTCCAGATACAACTGATTTAAACACTTCTAACATAGTTACAAACACTGGATCTGACATCAATAATGTACAACGACAACTAAACAATCGACAACCGGAATGTCGATTAATCGCTGTTTCTCTAGATAATCTGTGCAACAATCAACCTACGACAAATACTAGTAAACGATGTCGTAGTGGTCCTGCAACTACACAATCAATTTCATCGTCATTCAGTTCACATATATCACCCGGTAATAAACGAACTCGACATGCTTCACAATTTGAGGAAGTTCCTCCGCCTAGCACAAGAAAAAATTCTGGTATATCTGAAGCTCAACATAATTCAGATGTAATTCCTAGTCCACCTTTCACGTCATTGACACAACTTCTTTTGCAAGATTTTCCATTAGTTTCCGATATAATATCGTATTCTTCAGTGGATTCTCCTAAATATACTTCTTCATTTGAACAAAATGATTATCATTGTAAATCTACTAAATCTTTTTCAAATACACATGGATATGAAAATCTTCAATGTAACATGACAACTTCACATGACAGAAACAAAATAATCAGTTCGAATATTTCACAAAGTGACTATTGTCTTTCGGCAAATCCACCTTCTATGATAACAAGTGAAAAATGTACGAGAAATCAAGGTATTCATTGAAATTTTTTACTGTATTTATTACTGTTATATGATTCACATCATTGTGATAATTGAATTGTCTAATTCATTGTATCGTTCTATTTCCTTTCATGATTTTATTTGAAAACGTCTATCTAAAGTGTGTTAATTACATATCGGATAATCAATTCCTGATGAACAATATGCTGAAATGTTATAAATTAAGGCTAAATGACAGCTAACTATTTAATTATTTCATACTTTTCCAATGGTTGTCTAGTTAAAGTCATTCTGTGATTGTACATTATGTATAGTCAACTCAGTGAGTCAGTCAGCTACAACGTAGGACCAGGCACATATGTGCATCGGTCCAGGTTGCCATACCGCATCAGCACAACAAGATGAACACCGGATTGATAGCAGTGGTTAGGTCAAAGGTAGTAATATATAAGAGAAAGATTGCATATAGAGATATAGTACAAGAAGAAAGAATTGGTTCGTAGAAAGAAAGATATGAAGCGATTTTAATCTCTTAGTTTAAGGGAAGATAAAGAGTGTATACACCGACGCCATTATGATCGATTCTGAGCCATGTCACCAAGAGTCTCCAACCATTGGTTACGATGGTCACACGGACCCCAACCAAGTAGTCTGCATCTACCAACATGGCTCAGACTAGAAGTTAGTGACTTCAAGCACTGATACCACGTTTTGGTTTGGCCGCCCCTAACTTTCTTCCAACCATCTCCAATACCGGATAGCATTTCACGTCGTGGTAATCGGTATTCAGGCATACGTAACACGTGGCCCAACCATCTCAGTCGATGAAGATTCATAACCTCATCAACTGATTTACCATCATTCCCTAATACCCTGCGTCTAACCTCACTATGACTTACCCGGTGATCCCAGCAGATGCCAGCAATATTTCTAAGGCATCTGTGGTCAAATACTAGTAGCTTACGAGTGTCTTCTACTCTTAATGGCCATGTTTCGCTGCCGTAAAGTAAGACAGAACGGACTGCCGCGCAGTATACTCGTCCTTTTATTGATAGACGGATATCTCGCCTTCGCCATAGGTGACGTAGGTTGGCAAAAGCCAAACGAGCTTTTCGAATCCGTGCTGAGATTTCGTCCGATACCAACCCATTAGGGCTGATCAGACTTCCAAGATAAGTGAAGTTGTCGACGCGTTCGACTACTTCACTCCCTATCCTTAGTTCAGGTGTTGACGCAGACCAGTCCTGAAGCAACAACTTGCATTTAGAGGGAGAGAAACGCATTCCAAACATTCTGGCATTGTTGCTCAGTGCTGCCAGAAGACTCTGCATTTTGTCAGCGTCTTCACCAAACAGGACTATGTCATCTGCGTAGGAGGTCAATACCTGAGAACTCAGTCGACGAGAAAGTTATTTCCATCAGTGGATCTATGATGAAGTCAACTAACTATTCAACATTAAACAGAGTCGATAGATTTTTAAGCATTTCATTCTTACTGACTTTTGTCACAGAGTATTACTATGGTTGTTGTTATTCTTAATCCTATATTAATGATTTTAAATGATTACTATTATTTCTATTGAGTAGTTAGAAAAGTTAACATTTTAATCATTATATTGAATTATATTGGTTTATTGACAACACAATATTTGTACTTGTATGACATTTCACTTTACTTATATTTACTATAATAGGCCTATTCATCAATTCAAATAATGTTGCTTTCAGTAAACATATATCATCTTCTGATCATCAACCTAATGATGAAAATACATCGTCAACATTTTCCTGGTCAACATTGTCACCTAGTTCTAATGTAAAATCTAAATTAGAAAGTAAAGATAAATATCTTGTAAGAACAAGCAAAGATTCAGAGAATAATTCCACCAGTAATTTAATACCTGAACAATCTAGTATATGTCAGTTATTATTAGATGCACAATTGGAACCAGAAGAAATATCAGATGCTGTGGCTAATGTTCAAAATTATTCAAACTTATCATTTAATCGTAATACTTTGTCCACGATTAATAAATGTAAAGAAGAAGGCAGTAATGATGATATATCATCTTTTAAAATTAAGTAAGTTAGTTTTTAACACTGTTGTATACTCAATTCTCATGATCATGATCATCCTCATCTTCATCTTATATAGTGTACTCAGAGTATTAATTGTTTATATGTCATCTATTCTTCCATTTTATTCATGTTGTTTCATAGTTTTATCATTCAAATCAATACAAATTAAACTATTCAATTTAAAGTGAAATAAATAAAATTATGAAAGTGGGAAAAATCAAAATCGACACTGATCATTTTCGATCTATGTCACATGAACATCGTGATGTATGAAATCTATCTGAGCTAGAGAATGTTTTCAATTTTAAAACATGAATCAAAAACATGTTAAATTATATATATATATATATATATATATATATATATATATTTCTGATCACTATTAAGCAAAGATAGTAAATAGATTGATATGTCTGTGGGTCTCCAGCTGTCAAAGTGTTTGGATTATGTTCCCATCTTTTTAATGCGCAGTTTAAGTGTTGTTGAGGATAACTCACACTGAAGATCAATGTATTCTTTTTGAAGCTGGTCGAACTTAAGAAGGTCGATTCCTTGGTAATCGTTTAAGGGAGTTATGCGAGACAAAGCAGCTGCAACTATATGTGTAGCCCCACAAATGTGCTGGAGTAAACTGCGGCATGTAGTTCAGTTGTTGAGGTTCTCGAGAGCAGTACTTGTTTGAAGACGAGCTAAGGGGAGTGAGAGGTTTGTGGTCGGTAAACAGAGTGAATTCTCAACCTTCCACAGAGTGCCGAGAGTGTTGTACAGTATAATACATGGCTAGGAGTTTCCCTATCGAAGGTTCTGTACCTTGATTAACTTTCTTGCAGCTACCTAGGAAAGAATGCTAAAGATTGCCAGGTGTCGTTAACTCACTGTAGTATAACTCTTTTGATTGCCGAGTCGGATGAATCTACTGTGATACTAATGCGTGCTTGAATGTCCTATCGTGGGAGCATGGTTGCATTTACGATAAGTTCTCTAATTTTGTAGAACGGTTTTCTCGTGATATCGACTAAATTGATGGATTTCGCATTCCTACGAAGTTGGTCGTTTAGAGGTTGGTCGTTCATTGTGGTTTGGTGTGTGACAAAATCTCAGCACGGATACACAGGGCTCGACTAGCTTTTGTCAACTTGAGACATTTATGGCGTAGGCGAGATATCCGTCTATCAACCAAAGGACGTGTTTACTGCGCAGCAGTTCGTTCCATCCTAATTTATGGCAGTAAAACGTGGCCGGTAAGAGTAGAGGATATTCGTAGGCTACCAGTATTTGATCATAGGTGTCTTTGAAACATTGCTCTTATATCATGGGACCATCGAGTAATTAATGCAGTTGTTAGGAAACGTGTACTAGATAAGGATGGCAAATCAATTGATGAAGTAGTGAAACTTCATCAGTTGAGATGGCCGGGACATGTGCTACGTATGCCCAACAACCGACTGTGCCGACGTGTGATGTTTTATGGTTTATTAGTGGGTTGGAAAAAAGCTAGGGGTGGCCAGATCAAAACATGGTACAAGTCCATGAATTCACTGACAAGTGGACTGAGTGAGTCATGTTGGTAGGTGTAGATTACCTGGTTGTGGACCACGAGATGATAGTAAACGATGGTTAGATACCCTGAATGACATGGCTCAAAATCGTTTGCAATGTCGCAGGTGCATCCACTTTTTGTGTTCTCCCAAATTCTAATCTTCTGAATTCTTGATATCCGTTTTCTTTTACTCTTTCCAAATTTTTTTTTGCTGGATTATACTCTTTAAATAATATCTTCCAAACCTAATCTTTCGGATTATTGATTATACTCTTACTATCTCTACCACTATGATATTTGAGTCGACAATTGTTTCTGTGTGCGATCAGATGTGAACCAGTTTATTCAGTATTTCGAGATAGAAGATCAGATTTTTCCAAGTTACTTCTTGTATAAAGGGTCAAGTCCTAGCTCTGAGTACGTTTGAATTCGTAGTTTAAATATTATCAATTTCAACAATAAGAAGTGTAAAGCATCGATAGACAGATTCCAACGTAAGATCACCGCTTAATCGAACACTACTCAAAATAAAAGCGCAGTATTGTAGAAGCGGTCGTGTACATACTTTGTACATTAAGATACGTTGATCATTGTTACATTACGTAGTAAACAACTCAAATTCGTCAAGACAACAAAGTCTGTGTTTGAGACATGTCCTAAGAAGTCTAGATTGTTAGGATATCGGGACCCTTAACCACTATATTAAACCAAGATAATACTTTTTTATGGTGTAATCAAAATTGAGAAAATGGTTATGAAAGCAGATCCATCCACATTTAACAGAGATAAATTTCGATTTCCATTTTGCGCACCGAAAACACAAGCTTGTTGAGCGCTATATAGAATATATATAAACTCATGAGTAGAAAACAAATTCGCTCTCTTAAGATTATTGGCGTACAGAAAAGGTGTACTATTGCCAAAGGAATTTGAGATATCGTTCATATAGGTTATAAAGAGAAAGTGACTAATCTTTCTCACTATCGTTGCTATTACATTGTTTCCATTTCTTCGCTATTCACCTTGTTAATTTCATCTTGTTGTGCTAATGTGGTATAGTAACTTGGACGAACGTACGTTTGTGCCAGTTTTTACATTGATTGATTGATTCCAAACTACCTGGTTGGGTTCCACACTATCCGCCATTTATACTACTTTTAATACTATTGCAGTCATCTTAATAATTTCATCTGACTGTGTTATAGCAACTTGGGAGTAGTACACATACGTTCTAGGTTTTACCTTGGTTCTTATTGACTGCGCAAGCCCTTTCTTAGGTAGTTGTTCAATATCACTAATCTTAACCATAATGACAATCTTAACTAGGCACTTTAATCCACACTTTATGCTAAATTACTTTTAATAGTGGAAGAACATATCTGCTATTTTGCGAAGAACTATTGCTTCTCATTGTATTTAAATCCCTACCACATTCGGTTACGGTACGAAGTTATTTGAATCTCGAGTTGCGTTCTATATGACTGCGTCGATTCCACTAATCTGTCACTGAATTGTAATCAATGCAATTTTGTCTTGCCTTCATTACTGATCAATTTTTACTTACTTATCAAAGCAGAAGAAGCAGATATCATAGTTTAGTATTGCAAAAAAACTAAGATCCTATTAAAATAATTAAAGAATTGAAGGGGAAAAGAAGACCCTTTTTCATTTTTCAATGGGGTAACCACATAATATGTCACTAGTTCTTATAATCAAAAATATCTGAGTACATAGACTTAGACCACAGATGCCTTGGAAATATTGCTCGCATGTGCTGGGATCATCGGGTAAGTCATAGTGAGGTTAGGCCCAGGGCATTAGGGAATGGTAGAAAATCAGTTGATGAGGTTGCGAATCTTCATCGACTGAGATGGTTAGACCACGTATTACGCATGCCCCACCACCGATTACCACGACGCACAATGCTGTCTCGTGTTGGGGATGGTTAGAATAAAGTTAGGGTGGCCAAATCAAAACGTGGCATATATGCTTGAAGTCACTAACTTCTGGTCTGGGCCACGTTAGTAAATGCAGACTACTTGGTGGGGGTCCGCGTGACTATCGTAATCAACGGTTGGAGACTGTGGGTGACATGGCTCGGAATCGGTCACAATGGCGTTGGTGTATACACTCTCTGTCTTCTTTTAAACTAAGAGATTAAAATAGCTTCATATTTTTCTTTCGACGAACTAACTCTTTCTTCCTGTACTATATCCTTATTGCAATCTTTCTTTTGTATATTAGCACCACTGAATTAACTACTGTGAATCGGGTGTTGATCTTGTTATGTTAATAAGGTATGGCAACTTAAACTGATACATATATGTGCCTCCGTTGTAGCTGACTGACTGACCAGACAAATGAGTTTTATTCTGTTGCCGTCTAGTTTTCCTGAACCACAATATTTTTCTGTACTCTTTCCAAGTCGAAAACAAAATGCAAAACTAACAATGTATCTTTCAGTAACCTGCACAATAGAAGACCCTATAGTAAGGGTATTAGAATTCATACATAAGATTTCTCAATCAATTTGCGGGAGTTAATTATTTGAAAAATGACCAATCAATGTATTCTGATTTAAGCCTGATCAGAACATTCAGTATTCAAGATTCTATCCTGAAAACATCTTATTATGGTTATTATTCCCTCATTATCTCATAATTTAACGGATGATTAAGCAGATATATTGGATGCAGAGCGACTGTAACTTGATGGTAGTGAGAAATGTGTGATTTTCCAGATCATTGTAGAAGTGGGAAAAGAAAACCATTTCCTTTCTACACTATATGATAATTGATTTGTAATTCAGTAAAGTTGCTAGGTGCATTCTGCTTTGACTTTATGTCTGGCTTTCTATCACGTGATTTATCCACCAATCAAAATACGACTTATACAATCTTAGCACTGTGCCAAACCAATGACGTTCGACCGGCATGGGCAACCTAGCGTCCTTATTGGTTCTACGTCCGCCTAGCCCGTCCACTCGAGTCCAAAACTTCAATACCCAGCTTCCACTACGCGAATCGAACCGAATAATTTGTTTCACACATACTGGGGTTTATATATCAAACAAACAGACCGCAACGCACCGTAAAATAGGAAATAACATTTGTACACAAAGCCAAAAAGTAACTGTGAACGTGGGAGGCAGTAGTTAATAAACTGAACCTAACTTAAGAACCGTAAATCGTACAATAATAATATAGAGGTCAAAATAAAGCTTATAATAAGAGGAATATAAATATACATAATCTAATGATTGAATAGTTATACGATAAGAATGTATAGATAATATTAGTCAATTAATATGTCTTAGAAGTTACTCGTGATTTAATCTTCGCTCGGATCTAACGCAATCTAAGTAACTAAATTCCCCATAATTTATGATATAATGTGATTCATTGGTAGAACTTGTGATACTATACAACAATTGCTGAAACCGAAATATAGAGACTAAGGTGTTCAAATCATCAAAACATCTTTTCATTATTTTTAGTATGGTAAAGAAGTGTCTTGTTTCATAAGATATTTCAACCTATCTATATTATTTTAATTCGGACTTGATTCCCTTCTATTTTTAAAAGCTTACAAATCACATCGATTGCCGACGACAACCAATCTTCCAGTAGATTACTTGCTAGTACTTCTACTACTACTACTACTAGTAGTAGTTGTTGTTGTGGAGGGTTATCTTCTACTGATCTTACTGACAACTGTCCGTCAAAACAACTCCCACCACCACCATCGTCATATTCAATAGCTCCAGTCGAATGGAATGATGATGATCTACAGCAGTTAATCCATGAAGCAATAACTAATCCTAATGATGCTCTAATAGAAGAGAATAATCGCAATACATGTTCATCATGTTCTTCATCTTTAGATCTACCCAAACGACATCCATCCACTTCATCGAAAGAGATATCAGAAGAAGTGGAAATTTTATGTGAGATATTACGACGAGATGAATTAGAAAGAAATAATAAAAATGCTGAATATTGTCATCCTAATCAATGTGATGCCACTACTGCTGTTACTTCTACTTCTACGATCAATTCTTCTATTATTTCTAGTACAGAAGCTGGTAATAATAATCCATTGCCATATCTAAGTGAATCGCCCAGTTCTAAAAGGTCGAGATTCTCTTCATCCACATCGATATCTGATCATCAAATCGATAATACTGGTGATAATAATATGGCTAGTGTTGATGGTGATTTTGTTCATCGAGATGAAGTTAATTGGCAAAATGATGCTAAGGCTGTTGCCCGTATCTGTGAACAATTACAACAGGGTCTAGTTACGGAAAAGTTGCCAGTCACATCATCAAATAATGATAGTAACAACGGTACTGTAACAGAATATCCTGGATATTCTGTAAAAATCAATGATCATAATAATAGTAGTACTTCTGTACTATCCAGTAGTATTCCTGATTATTCAATTTCGCGAAACGATATAATAGTGTCGTTGAAGCATACTACTCCAGTGCCAGATCTAGGTAATTTGTTGTATTCTTGTAGATGTAATATATTTTGATCATTTTCAGGGAGTTTTTGTTGGATATTTTGATCGTTAACATGGAGTGATTGTAGAGGTGTGCAGACAATTGTTATATCCCAGTTTCCCACATTGAAAATATACCTTGAGGTACTTGATACGTAAACTAAACCACAGAAAGGAAACAACTGATCGAGATCGGTCACATACGGCATTTGTATTAATGGTTCTTTATGTTCTAGCTCGATATCGCAAAGGTCTTACTCCCGATGTCCATGTAGTAATAAGATGAGGTTTGAGGTTTTTATGAAGTCGACCTGTTTTAAACTCCTCTTTTCGTTGTCAGGAGATAACGTCACTCCAGATCATGGTTATCTGAGGAAAACCCTTTACTCCCGTCACATTGTAGTGTCTGGTACTAAGTCGAACCCACATGATTTATTCTAGCTTCCGGACAGACTAGTTTATACATTCTTCTCAAGCCACTTATTCTCTTGTTAATACTGTTTTATATGAGCGTATGTGTGTTAAATGCTTACCCTGTTCATTACGTGCTTGTAACTTATTTTTGTCTGATTATAAATGTTGAGTTACTCTTGGTCGAATCGAGTTGACTCACTCACCTTCTCCGATCCGCTTCTGTTCGCTTTCCTGCTTCTTATTCTGAATGTCTGTCTAGATAAACGAATGTTTGGAATAAATTCCTCCAATGCAACCCTTATTTAGCTTATATTATCACCATCACACAAACGGGGTTAGCTTAGGTAATATATGGAGGTAAATGGAAGATTTATGTTCACAACATATTCATACGTTCATCCAAATTGGAGTCAGATCAACGGGCTACAAAAAATATCACAGTGAAGTCGTGTGTACAGATTTGCCGTTGATTCTAATTTGGCACTTGTAAGTTATTCAGATTATCATGGTTTAACCCTAAAAAAAAAACAAACGTCCCAGTTATTATAGATCATTTTGGTCATTTCGATGTGCTAGCTTGACCACCACATCATATCAGTAGCTATGGCTAGGTAAGTATTTACATTCTGTCCAAAACGTTTACTGTCTTTCTACGCAATACACTGTCTGAAGTTGAGTCATTGGAATTGAATTTGGTTGTGTTATGGAGGACTGTATTATTGACTTGAGCTCCTGAATTATTAAAAATTAAAAGCAAGACCACCAACCAAAATGATTCGTTTTTATGAAATAACATACATTCAGAATACAGACATGCCCTCAAATGTCATAGTACGTCCGAGAGTGGGAAGAGAGTCAAATCTCCCTCTCGAAATGCTCTCACATGGCCACGTGCATACAACCACTGAGAAGGAAGCCCTACTCACTGTCTTCTAGTGGCAGGAGTGTTGTTTACGAAAATGAGAGGACGAAAAGCGAATGTCCGGTGCTTTATCTGGGTTGGTGGTGTGTACGGAAAATCCACCTAGGCGAGTTGGAAAACACTGATTGCAAACCAATCGTGTATATGGGCTCCAGGATCGTGAGGAAACAAAAGTCGTATGAACCAATTATTGATCAACGGTTAACATGGGACTGGATTTCCTAACGTTGTTTCACTGTCATGTGGATTAGAGCTTTAGGTCATAGGCTCCAGTTGTGACCCCTAAGGAAACCATCTGCTTCGTTTTAGGGACCCAGGCAGTATCACAACCCACACACAAATCAAATGATTTATGTGGCGCATATGTATTCGATGGCGCTTTGTAAAAATATTTATGTTCAAATAAATAAATAAATAAGTACAAGCCTAAAGATAAACATAACGTGTTAAGGATGACCCGAAGGAATAAACTTGTAGTTTATCCATTCTTCAATCCATTAAGATATGATTGTTAGGCATGATCTTTGGGCAAGGTATCGAGTTAATGGAATGCACATCTGTTTTAGGCCACGTCTTATTACCATCAATTGTCCTTCTAATTGGTTCTCCATATAATCTACCATCACATAATTTGCTTTATTCTTATCACATTCAAGGTTGTATATCTGCATGATTCAGTGACATGGAATGCCTTCTAAGATTTCACATTCTTACGATATCACTGGACAAAATTATCATATGTAATTCAAAGTAGATCATCAAACTGTATAAAACACATTTAAATTTTTTCTTTCTTCATCAATTAGCCATGGAATAATGAATCCTTTATTGACCTCTAGAGTCAGAAAATTTAGTAGCAATGCTTATTAATTATCTTAGTTGACAGAGAAAATAAGAACATTAGAATCTCAGTGTGTATCATCAGTTATTCATTTATCAAGCACAGGTTTATGTACTCAACTTTAACCTTTACTCTATTCATAAGGAGGACTAATGATACAAATCTGTTTCCAAAGGCAAAGATTTATGGGATAGTGTTCGAAACTGACTTTTGCATTGAGAATTCAATGCTCTAAGCTTATTATTAATTGTCCTAAGAAATAATTATGCATAATAATAATAATAATAATAATAATAATAATAATAATAATAATAATAATAATAATAATAATAATAATAATAATAATAATAATAATAATAATTACCCCAACATAAATTCATTATAGTTCTGAGACTGTTGCTTTTGTTCTAAAACACAATGAAACTTGTTCAATTGTCTGATGTTAATTTTACTTTTAGTAGTTGTACTATTCGAAATTGTTTAAATCTCATGCTAATTTTAATGTTTGATTGTTATTGTCATTTAGATGAATTACTTATGCACTTTGATTTATGTTACACAGATAGAGATAAATAGCATAATATTTCTCTTTTTTCTTCTTCTAATAGTTATTTGGTATCTTTTATAAAGTACATTAATTCTATTGAAGGTTTTTGTTTGTTGACTAGAAAAAATTGATTTTTTGTTGTTGTTGTTGTTCTTATTGTTGTAAATTTACCTTTTATCCTATGATTGTTTCTTTTTTTTTTGTTCTAAAAATTAACAAATTTAAGATAATTTCTTTCTTTCTTTCTTTATTATTTGTATAAATAGCAATGACTAATTTAATGACTACAACTTGTACAACATGGTCAAGTTATTCACCTCAGACAACAAGTAGCAGTGGGCATAATATACTACGACGTAATAATAGTGGAAACAATAATAATAGTTGTAGTAGTATTAGTAGTGGTGTTATTGCTACTACTACCACTACTATTACGAATGTTGTGAATAGAGCTGCTGTGGCTGCCGCATTAGCTAGTCAACAAGCTGCAGCAAGTCAACGTAATCAATTGAATAATCAACGTCTATTAGCTGAACAACGTAAAGTGAGTTCATTACTTAGTTAGTTAGTTGATTTATTTATTATTAGATACTTTCTATTTGTGTCTAAAAGAGAAAAGTTAACATACTATCTTGTATGATTTCATCTAAGAAAGAGTAAGCAAAATTAATGTTATTTTAATGTCATATTAGAATAAAGTACCATTATTAGCAGTGGCAGTAGAAAAGATTATTTATTTATAATATTCTCTGAGAAAGTATGAATTCATTGATTTAAAAATGTAACATAGTTTGGAAATTGAAGACAAATACTGAATGCATCTAAGCCATTGTGTATGATTCTGTTTAGTAATGGTTAGAGTGTTGGACTTCTAGCCAATAAGTCTCTGGTTTGAATCCCTTTCCATCCACTTCGATATGGGCAACCGGCTAGTATCAGTAACTTTTACACTTGGAATATGGTTCGTACTCATCTAGTGAATTAGTTAATTGAATGAGTTTTGTTTTTCAAAACTTGACTGACCGTGATTACTTCGTGGATCGCTTAGGTTGTGTCCGGAGCTGCGTACACAGCTCAATCTAGTAACAACTGACTTCATAAACTGAATTTTGTAAACTAATTTATTAGTAAATTCAATGGGATGTTTTGTAAGTGGTGGAACTTGTTGACTTTGTGAAGATAGGTTAACTGTCGAACAGGTTAGTGTAATATATTTGTTGTTAGTAAATCAATAAAAATATAGAACTAATTAGTTTATCTTTAAAAGCATTGGGGACTGCAGTTGAATATTCTGTCTTATTGTGGGTGTTTTCAACTATAACTCTCAATTAAAGACCTTTTTATGATAGTCTTTTTAATGTTTCATCAACTTTTTTTTAAAATACAGTGTATACTCTTTACTTTTATAACCTTCTTCCTCAATTAGCGCCTTATCCAACATCAGTTATATAATCAAGTTGCTGTGTATTCACTGAATTCATCAGCAACTAATCGCAACCCTATGTCGAACTCGGATTCGAATCCTCAAGTGAATACATTTTTTGTCAATGAAAATATGTATGGTATACAAAATTTACCTTCTTCTCTTAGCATTTCTCCTACTACTAATAATAATACTATCATTTCTACAACAGCTAGTCATAATAATCATAATCCAACTTATCATTTATTACATGTAATTCCGAATAAATCAATGATTAGGAAATCTTTATCATTAGATACTACTAGTACACAAAATATGAATGCAAATTTATTGAATTTAAATGCTACAACAGTGATTTCATCGAATTCACCTTCATTCAGTTCAACATCTAGAGGTGCTAATTTTTATCATTATTATCAACATCATCGTCCAGAGGATTTATCTCGATTTTTAAAAGAAGTTGGTCCTAATGTACAAGTACAAGTAAGTTAAAATGGCACGCTTTAACTTCCATTCTATCTATAGTCTTAATAAGTAATTTTTTATTACTTTTTTCAGTAGTTGATTAAGTTTCTTAGTTATTTGTTAAATATACTATTCATTTTTCTCATACTCATCAAATGGATAATTATCCCTCATAGATTTTGGCTTCATCTTATCATTCAGTCTAGTTCTAACCCCTGTAATTTTCAAACACTTAATTAATTAATCCTCGTCTTATTTCTTAAATGACTTATTTATTGAATCATTATAAGTATAATTGTACGACTTAAGTGGTCTTCCGTGGCAGAGGCTGTATACGCTTGGCCGTGTGAGAGTATTTCGAGAGGTAGGGCGGGCCCTCCCTACTCTCGGCCATACCAGGGCATTTGGGGGCAAATTAAAAACGTTCTCTGGGTTTCCTTTAATTCTTTTATATATATATATATTTTCTAACACCTATATTGAAAGAGTTTTATGGAGATTAGTTTTATTTTTAGGTTGGATTCGTCATTTGATTAATCTCAGTTGAGGCTCAGTTGAAAAACTGGTAGCATTGAACAGTTTTACTTTAATGGGGTTATCCTTCAGGGGTGTGCACCGATCACCCTAACCACTAATCGAACCCAAGATCTTCAAATCTTGAAACAAACTTGTAACCATCATAATCGATGATTCGATTTGCAGTGTTACAATTTCAACTTAAATCATTTTGTGCTATTGCGTGTCGATCATCCAATGTTATTAATGGCAATTCTTGCATTCCTATTATCTCTGAACTTTACTAGTCACGACTTTTGATTAGAAAAACAGAGAAATTTTGTAGTCATTAGGATGAAACAATTGTCCAGCACTCTCTGGTTATCATTATCACTCTAGTTGAGACAACTCTGTAATAAATGCGACTTGAAAACGAAACATTCTGTATTCTGTATGTATCAATACCATGGCTAAACTTGATAGTTTCAAATAAATTGAGCATTTGGTAGAGAAATAATAGTAAATATATTTTTGTTATAGCTTAATCAGTAGGAAAATTGTATGTCTGACGTTTCTTGATTTAATGTAGGCCACTTCTTCAGAGTAAATATATAACCAAAATTAATTTAACACAAGTTTAATTAGTACAAAGGAAACTGTTATTTAAACTTGTGTTGAATTAATTTTGGTTATATATTTACTCTGAAGAAGTGGCCTACATTAAATCACGAAACGTCAGACATACAATTTTCCTACTCATTAAGCTATAACAAAAATATATTTATTATATTCTGTATTTTACTTTTGCATTATACCAGATTTATTATAGAAAATAAAAGCGTTTGTCATCGCTTCGTCAATAGTGAAGTCTAGTTAGTATTTCTGGAATCGCTGAAACTATAGTTTATAGGCGGTCTTTCAGCGGTCCTAAAGTGACCTTGAGAGTATTCACCTAATAAGTAAGACCAAATGATAGTTATAAACCAGTGTGAGGAATTAGATTTAGGGTTTTCATCACGAACTGGCATTAGCTATTTAGTCAAATGGATGAGACCTGTTGTCTTATACCTGACTGCTTCATCCATAAATTATAGTCTCGCCGTGGTTCATCTTGGTCTCCACATCAAATGAGATTTGTGTGGCGCATATGTATTTGGTGCCTCCTTGTACCAATATCTATGAGTTATAATAAATAATAAATAAATCTTGGTCTCCACTTTAGTTTATGTCTGTAAAGTGATTGCTAACATTTGTAGTTATAAATAATTTGTTCGAGTTTCATTGTAGATATCAACACTAGGATAATGCTGCTACTTACAATCAGCGAGTTGAAAATAATAGTAAATTCAACATAGAATCTGACACGTCTATCGGTTATGTTTGTTCTACTAAAATGATTACCTACTTTATAATAATAATAATAACAATAATAATAATAATAATAATAATAATCTTTTCTGATTAACTTTTCGTTGCATTCTATCAAGCTTTCTTGTTCAATCCCTACAATTGATAATCATCAGTTAAGTAATGCACATAAAACCCCTCATGTTTACCCTACATTGCATCATAGAAGTACAGTGAAAATGCAAAAACCACCTGCTAGGCATCCAATGATAGCTAAAACAACAACAATTACTCCTACTACACCATTGTCAACGTCAGCAATGTTTCATAATTCCCAGACCGCTGTGCTGCAATCAGGTAGTATTGGTTCGTTGCCATCATCATCATCGTCGTCCTCCCATAAAACTTCAACAGTTTTACCAGTTTATTCTTCTCATTCATCTGCAGTGAGTAACTTATCATCTATAAACAATCCAAAGAAAATTTCAAGGGAGGATTCAATTCTACTCAACCAAAAACATTTTCCATTTGTGGATAGTAATAATAATAGGTATGTGCTGATATTTATGTATGTATATAAAACTTTGTTACTTTAAGTGCATAGATATATCTTCAGTTTGTGCGGTTATTTCCCTTGACAAATTCGAATAAAGAAAGTATTTATAAATGTTCTTGGCTTTATAATGGATATTGAATATTTAAATATAAGAATGGGTACTTTTTTTACCGTATTAATTTCATCAATGACTTTTTTTTTTAAAAAAAATATCCATTCACTTTTTGTTTCTCCTTAGATCTTGAGTGTGAAAATTGTCTTGTCTTTTTTTATTTCATACATTAATTTTTCTTGTTGAATCATGTTGTTTATATACTTAAACTATGGTACTTTCTTTGATACAGTTTACTACTTCCACTATTTTGTGGTTAGTCATTTTAATAATTTCATCAGGATATACTGATATGATGTGATAAGTTGAATTGTTGCATCAGATATGCTTAGTTCTACACTGTGTTTAACTAATTGGAATATCCTATTTTTATTAGGTAGATCATGGATAATTTGGATCGCTTAATTAAAATTACCCTTAATCCAAGTGAATTCAATACTGTAAATCAGTCGTTTTTCTAATTTGATTTCATTTGAAATGTTGTACATTAAAATCGTGTAGTTAGTTCAACAAAATAAAGCTTGATTTATTTTTGTGCAAAATATATACAGAATTCTAAAAGTTTAGCCATATACATCCACTTTATACATGTGAATCATTAAATATGAAATAGACAAATAAATAGGTAAATTGTATAGAAAAGAAATGAAAGTACTCTATAATACAATTTGACATCACAACTAGTAATTGAAAACGGACTGATTATTACAAGAGCATATTCATGAGGGTGGAATATAGTGAGTTTTTGAACACAGAAATTAAGTTTAATCTTTTTGATGTCTAACACTATATATGTAGGAATGTACCAATATACAAAGGTTTAGTTGTCGCAAAGGTTGTCATTTATCAATCCTTACAGTTATCTGAGATCGAGTTACTAACTGAGTTTGAAGTTTTTTTTTAATGTGGTGGTGGTATACGATCATTGACTACGAGAACTTGATTGTTCCTCATCATATATGTGTACTCTGTACGGGTTTCGGCACTCAATTTCTACACCATACTTATTATATTAAGATAATCGGTTCTTCATTGTCGCTTGAATCAAAGTTGATCAGTTTTAAAATCTGTTATTATAATCACTACTCGTTTTAAGTGAGAAAAAAAGTTTAAATCTTGACTATTGTCAAGCCTAGTTGATTCGGTCTTTGCCATCTTAATTCATAGTTATTCAAGTTGATCTGTATAATGTAGGTTCACCATAAAAATCGTTATTAATACTGCTAATTATCAATTCGATTCTATAAAAGTATGGTACATTTTTGCAGATAACATGATTTATTCAGCAAATAATTTACATGTTGTTCTTTATTGTTTTTCTTCCCCCTCACATTTATGTTACAGTTGTTTAGTTAAAACTGAACTACATCAAGGATTAGTCGATTGTCAGGGTATCCATCAAAATCGTTCTGTTGTTCCTGTTACTACTACTGATAATGATCATAGTAGTTTTCAATGCTCTCAGGTATCTAACAAATTCTCCGATGACTCTCTGCCAGTTAATACTTATCAAGCTTGTTCTTCAACTGAAGTTGAGCAATCCTCTCCGGTCACCACCTCTTCCCCCTCCTCATTGTCATATGTTTCAAGTGTACCATCTAGTAGTTTGATGGCACATAATGAGAACGCATATTCTAATATATGTTGTACTGAAAATCCTATGAATTCAGTTCAGTGTCTTGAATGGTCTTTACCTCAACCTGTTTATGTACAACAACAGAAAATCAATTCTAACTTGGATAATATATCTTTGTGTAATAATACTGTTTATCCCCAATCAGCTCATTTGGCTCATAGTTATCGTTCTCAGGTTTTTCCAAATAGTCATAAAACCAACGAGTTAAACAATAATAATAAAATTGATACATTTGATTACTTCACTCGAAATGATTCATCGTATTGTAATAATAATACATTGATGATAAATCATTCAAATGTTGTTTATCCCTTAACACCGTGTAATAGTTTATCACCAATCAGTGTATCAGCGAATACTTCCCCAAGTTCCAGTACTACATCTGGTTACCTTAAGTCACCACCGCCACCACCGCCGCTGTCTGCTTGTCAACAATCGATAGAATCAGCGTATTCTACATCATCATCTTCATTGGACACTTTAGTTAATCATTATTATGAAATAAATTCAACGAGTGGATCATTCGATTGTTGTTTCAATACTTATTCAAGTTATCCAACTTTTCACAGAAATCTATCAACAATGTCTAATTCATCAACATTATCTTATAATTTTAATCATACATCTCAGGATACTCCTGTTACTACAATTATTGATCCTCATTTAGAATCGATGTTACAGTCAAATTATAAACATCAGTATCAACAACAAAATGAAGAGAATTTATTACCAGATGATCTAATCAATGATGTATTCGATCGTAAGTGTTAATGTCTGTTTGTGTATGTATTTGTGTTTGAATCTATTTTAAACTGTATTCATTTCGAAGAGTTTTCAATACATATGTAGTTGCTTTTTTTCTTCAATAAATCCATCATCTGAAGTCAGAAATATGTTAATTTCATGAAATGTTAAAGTGTATCAAACATATCCTATGCGAATATATTTACCATTCGTAGGAAAAACACTTCCTATAATCTCTGTTGTTATATGTTTAAAACTTTCTGGAAAGTCCACAGAAGTAAACCACCTCAACTGTATGACCATCCATTCATGTTTTATTGTCACTGTTCCACTTTTCATGATGACTACACGAAACACCGCAAGTTATATAGGTCTTCCTACCGTATACCACCAAACACTGTAAATGAATTACTAATATTATCACTTACATTATTATTTATTTACTTAAACACATAAAAATTGGTACAAGGAGGCACCAAACGGATATGCGACACATAAATCATTCGATTAATGTGAGGGCTGGGGTACTGCCTGGGTGTCCAAACCGAAGCAGTTAGTTTTCTTAGGGGGTCACAACTGGAGCCTTTGACCTAAAGCTCTAATCCACAAGACAGTGAGACAACGTTAGGAGATCCAGTCCCATGTTAAGCGGTGATCAATAATTTTTTAATACGCCTTTTGTTTCCTCACGATCCTGGAGCCCATATACACCATCGGTTTGCAATCAGGGTTTTCCAACTCCCCTAGGTGGATTTTCCGTACATACCACCAACCCAGATAAAGCACCGGACATTCGCTTTTCGTCCTCTCGATTTCGTAAACAACACTCCTGCGACGAGAAGACAGTGTGTAGGGCTTCCTTCTTAGTGGTTGTATGCACGTGGCCATGTGAGAGCATTTCGAGAGGGAGAGTTGACTCTCTCCCCGATCTCGGCCGTACCAGGACATTTGGGGGCATTAAATTAAAGAAATCCTTAGATGATGATAATGATGATGGTGGTAATGTCAAATTTACAGTCATTTTATGAGAATTATTTCATTTTAGTCTATCATTTTTGCGCTGTTCTCGTAGTTTATTTACTTTCCATAGTGTCATTTGTTTTTTTTCGTTGCTTACTAGTTGAGATTATGATTGCAGCTAAGCAACAACGAGAATATCATCATAATTCAACAACAAATGAATTGCAGTGTTTAACTGTGGATGCATCACCAGTCCCTATCAAACAACAACCTCAATTGACTTTGTTGAATAATAGTAATGTTATACTATCCACATCATTATCGCCAAGGTTGTCGTCCCCTTCAATATTGAATGCTACAAACCAATGTTTGACTACTACTACTACTACTACTACTTCTGGTGCTGCAGTTATTGTCATTGTTACAAGATAGTGTCATCAGTATGTTGTTTGGTGTTTTTTATTTGAGAAAGAAATAAACACCAATAACGATAGTTATAAGAACAACTGTGCATGGACACACATATTTTTATTTATTTTCTTTTATCGAACTGAATATTAGAACCTCTACATTTGAAAATATAAACATTATACATAATTGTCATATTAATTAATTATTTTTTTATTTGTATACACCCTCACTCCCTCCTAAATCATATTCCCTCTCATTTATATTATATTCAATAGCTGTAAGAGAACTAATCATTTTTATATTACTTCTAATTATTATTTTTCATAATCAACATTCTTCTTCTTTGTATTAAATAGTCGTTATGGAATGGTGTGGGAAAGCAATATATCAAGTTGCGCATCATGTACACTTTATTTTATTCTTTCTTTTTTTGACATCTATCTTTATTGTACTTGTCCACATCAACAACCATGCTCGTTCATCTAGCAGGCCTCTGTTTGTTACTTCTCCTCTGGTGTTTTTCTGTTTCCCAATAAGATATTACAAAATCGTTCTGTTGAGGTTTTTTCTATTAATTGCGTAATATCGGTTGTATTCAGGTGCATTGATTGTCTTGACAATTAAAATATAATATTTGGATAGAGACGATTCGTAATATGAATACTACTGCTACTACTATTACTAAAGAGAATGATCAATGTAATTATATTTTCACACTTACGTACATTAAATGTGTATACATATTTTGTGTTCCTGTATTTTAAATGCCATCGGTTGCGTGTGTGTCTGTGTGTATATCAGCTGATACTTTGTCAATTGCTTCTTTGTCAATAAAATCAAGTTGCCTTAGTTATTATCTTTTCAACTTTTTCTATTCTGCAATGTACACATTTATTAAGTAGTATATAAATTGTACACTCACTCTCTTTCTCACACATACACACAAATATTCAGGACATATTTTATTATTATTACTCAGTAAATTTACTATTGCTGTTATACATAAACAAGTGTTTTGATAACAAGATTTTTTTTGTGTGTTTATAGTACATTACAAAACTGCATAGATTGTTTGCTTCTATTGTCCAGGTGATAGCGATATTTTGCTCTCTTTCCAGCTGCTTCGCTAGTTGGTTGATCTCATTCATTGTTGTAGTAAATAAATAAACACACCACATATAACCAGGTCTTATTTATCTTCTCTCTTTTTTCAAAAAAAGTTTTTTTTTCTTTATCCCGTCATCTATAGTGTTACGACCCAGTTTGGGCACCAAATTTGTGTACACAACTTGTGTTTGTGTCTTTATTCTGAATTTTATAAACTCAATCTTGTAATTACAATATATTTGGTCTAATACACAAAAAAATACCACTGTTCAAGGCTAAAACTCACTCTCTTCTCTTTCATTAATTCAATAGTTTTGTGTGTTGTTTTTGTTTCAGTTAGGAATATTCAAATGCTTTGTTGTCTTAATTCATTCATTTTCTTTTCTTTTTTTTCTCCACTGGTTGTTTCTATCTACTAATCTTGTCTTTGTTTCTGTCTATTTCACAATAAATCCTATCTATTTTCTTTTATGTGTCTGTTTATCTTTCGTTGTTTACTCTTCTTTGTCACTTTGTTGATTTCTGCCAAAAATTCTTTGACTGGCGTTTTTTTTAATCCTTAATTTTTTTTTGATATATCTATATATCAGTATAGTTTACACTGTTCTTTCTCTTTATCGTTTGAAGTGGTGTAATACATAACGTGTAGGAAATTTATTTTACTCTTATTCGTTGTCATCTTTCGTCTGTTTCTCTATTTATCCTTTATTATTTGCCTGATTACATACATGTCTATCTATCTGATCGACCAATAGATGATTAAAATGATCGATTTGATTGTTGTTTGTTTTTCTTTTTTGTTTTCCTTCTTCTACTAAAAACAATAATTTTCTCTAGACATTTCTCTCCTCTTTCTCTTTCATTACAATTTTAATTCATATCGATTATATAAACGATTCTCTTCAGCGAGCGTGGTATGTTAAAACAGAGAGAATGGTTCCCATTTCATCATTATTCTCTGAATATTGAAAACTGAAATAGAAAAATAATACTTCATCAATGATGACTGAATTGTGTTTCGCGCTTACATTATTTTGATTACTGTGTTCTATGCATATATATATATAACTATGGTGTATTGGTAAATAAATTTTGTTGTTGGTCATCATCTATTGATCGAGATATCTTTGTATCGATTAAAATTTCTTATTTTGTGTAATCAGTAAACAGTTTCTCTGTTTTTGATCATATTTGTATCAGCGTCGTTGTTGTTCTACGATACATATATCTAATGCTAAAATAATGTAAATACCGAAAATTTCTTTTATCGCACACACACACACACACGGAGTCAGAGATGTGCTGGTAAATAGTTAAAAATGCGTATTAATCAAATTTGACGTTTGTTTTCTGATTCAACTATATATATATATATATGTATAATTAGATGAAAGTAAAGTTTCTTTTTTATCTGGTTTTTCATTCCAGAATTTTTCAGTTTCTTCTTGTTTCTAGGGGTATATATGTGGTGTGTTTAAATACATATGAGTTTATCATTTTGGTGTTTATCTTGTTGCAGTTTATCACTATCATTATTATTATTATTATTATTATTATTATTATCACCTGCCTACCCTTTCGTGTATTTCTTCTTTTTTTTTCTCTCACTTGTACACAGCTTATCATATTGTTGGTCATTTTTCTAATTAATTCAACTATGATTATGATTATTATTATTTTAAAATTGCAAACTTCATAATCAGTCTATTTCACCTCTGTTTTGTTTTTGCTTTTTTTTTTTTAATAAAAAATCTTTTGTATATTTACACAACAATAGATCTATTTGTTACTTTTGTTCCTCTTCTTTATTTATTTATTTATTTATCTATAAATGTATTTGTAATCCTTTATATATTTATATATATATATATATATGCAATTGTCAGGGTGTTAGCCTATTTTGCCATTGTTTTCTTCTCATTCAGCATATATATCTATATATACGCTGAATATTTTTAATGCTCTATTTTTTTTCGCGCCTTTTCACTATCTCTTCCGCCCTGGTTACCGTTTAAAGAGAAAAAAAAGGACATTGTTTGTCTACACGAAGAGCATTTCACAAGCAACAGTAATAGTAATAGTAGTAGTAGTAGTAATAATAATAATAATAACAGCCTTGAAAATGTATCATCTTTAGAAAATGCGCCTTCATTATCGTCTTTTATTTTGTTAACTTTATAGAAAAACTTATATTCATCTATTTAAAGTACATGTTTTACAGTAGAGCGCCATCTCTCTCTTCTGTTTAAAATTTTCTCTTCATTGTTTTCTTTTTTATTATAATTCTCATATCTTGATCATATATGTTTAACACACAATTGGATTGGTCTACATATATATATATATATATATATATATATATATATATATATATATATATATAATTGAAAGTACACAAAAAACGGTATATTATGCATTCACTACTTATTTTTCTTTATAATTTGTACATTATCTCTTATCAGGCTAATTTGTGATTGTTAGTATTTCATATATAAATATATATATATATGCATTACAAATATTAATTAAAGCAGGGATGGACAATGAAAATATAAACTTGTTGTAATTTGTTTTGTTTCTCTTTTTTTTTTATTAAAAAGAAGTCTGTTACTCATAGTATGTGTTTTTCTATAAAGGTGTTCTGTTCTGTTCTGTTTGTTTTCCCTAATTGTTGTTCGTTATGTGTGCTTGAATGATCTTCTCTCTGTTCCCTTTCTAGTTTTAATTTTTTGTACTCACTCACTCACTCACTCAAACAGATACACTCACACACACACACACACAGACCCACATTACTATTATCAATACAAGTTGGAAATCAATCAGTCTATCAATAAACTATACATACATCTATCTCTGTCTAGATCTCTTCAGGCTTTTTTTATTATTATTATTATTATTTATTTATATACTATTATTATTATTTTATTGTTTTAAAACAATACTCAGTGAATTGAATATTTTCGACACCCATTCTCTCTTCATTTTGTTTTTTATTATTATTATTATTATGTAGAAATAATGCATATATATATATACATAAACACTATTTCCTCGGAAAGAGAATAACACTATTTGAGTCATTATGTTTCATTTTCCGTATTCCCCCCCCACACACCTAATACAATAGAGTACATAATCTCAAAATAATGCAGTCAGTCAAATAACAATTAGTTATATATAATGTAGTATTTGGCCTATATACGTGTTAATCAGTTCCAGTTGCCAAATGATAGCGACATTTCAAAATTGTAAATGTAGTAATAGTATTAATAATAGTAGTAAAAAGATAGTCATAAAAGTGACATTAAAAATTATGAAATTTTCAATCTTAAAGAAATACAAAAATTCTAATGGATACTATACTATATCAATTAAGTTCTCGAATCATTGCTTACGATAATCTTGTGAATCAGAATAGTGTAGTTTACACTCATCTACATGACTTAGTTCAACATTCAATGACTTCATGGACTGATATCGCTTCTTGATTTGAATACCCCTAACTGTCGGAGACTATTCTCGTCGAAGTAGGTGGTTGTGGAATATACATATATGATCTCACCATCTCGGTTTCATCAACTGACTTCCCATTGTTAACTAGTAGCCTTTGTTAAGCCGTTATTGCTCGATTAGTGTTTATTACATACTTGATCAATGTTTTAAAGCCAGCTATGAGCCTACGAATATCTCCTACATTTGTTAGTCATGAAGGAGTTCATTTTAATGAGTGTGTCTTGATAGAATTAGTTGAAGGAGAAAATTCTGAAGATGTTTTTATATTATGTAGTAGTTCTTCATGGGCTTTGACTCGACTATCTGTGTACACTTGTGTACAATTATAGAACTACTCTTCCTCACATCCTTATATGCTATGAATCTAAGGTATATATTGATTATTATGAAATAGATTTACACGAATCTTTAACTTCTTGACGATATCAATTTCTAAAGCAGTACAATCGTATTTTTTTAATGGACGACCTTCTAACGAATCCCAAGTGCTCTTCAGAGATATTAACCAATCAGCAAACAGTCAGTGTAGAGTAAAAATATATTACACAAAACCAAAGAAATAAAGTGCATACACTTCTTTTACGTGGTTCAAAAACTTGTCAGGCTTAGATAGAGGTTCCGAGGTTGTAAAATCGTAAAGCATACAGTAGAGGAAATCATCCATACGACCACAGAATAGTCGGCCTCTGGATCCATGATAAAGTCTCAGAAACTCTTTCAGTCTGGACCACATGGTTTCACTATTGTTTATATGTACTTCGGCTGTTGAATACACAAAATGCTACTTGTGGATAACGAGACGATGCACATAACCAAGCCTATGTAGGAGTTTGTACGCTCTCCAAACATCCAAATATATTGTAGTACCTGACTGCATCCAATTTTACTGGTGCTTTTATTATCCAGTTCGCGATAGTTGTCATAATTTGCCTTAGGAATTATATGTGGTTTTCATCACGAACTCACATCAGCTATAATGCCAGAAATTTATTAAACCAAGTGCATGAAAGTCTTTCGCGTTAAAATCCGAGATCTATTATCTCATGCCTGACTTATTCGTTCACAAATTATACTCTCGCCGTTTTATTTTTTATAGTCGCTCAATTATCACGTTTTGCACAAAATTCGTTGTGAACCCATCATACGTTAGCATTAAGCACTGAAGTTGGCACCGTAACCTTGAAATCTATAAGACGCTTCTGATTGACTCGTCCATGGATTAGTCTCGCCGAGAAGTTTTATAAAATGGTTAAAAAAAAGTCAAACTTATTCAAATGAATTGATATCTCAGCGCAAACGTCTACCTGAAGTCGTTCAGATGAACTATGAAAGCTCCACGAGTAAAACATCCAGCTCAGAGAACAAAACTCCATCAAAATCATCCACCTGAGCTACAAATCTCCATCATCTCAAGAGTTGATGTCGGATAATTATCTATAAACATGAGAAAATGTTAATATTAGAAGGGGTTTTGTGGAGATTTTAGAAATTTCAATGGTTGAAATCATGAGTCAATTGAAGCTAGTTCAACCTGGAAGCACTGGACGGTCATTTCGTCCTATTATGGGACTCCTGGGTTCGAATCTCGTGGGAGGCGGGATCGTGGATGCTCACTGCTGAGGAGTCCCATACTGGAATGAAACTCCCGTCCAGTGCTCCCAGGTTTTCCATGTTGGTCTAACTTCAATTGACTCATGATCTCAACTATTGAAAATGTTATTGTCAAGAAGAAAGTTTTCTTTATTGAAGTGTTTTCATTCTTCCTAATGAATTAACGTGATATTCTCATAATCGATGAACTATGAAATGTAGTTAACCATATTAAATAGTAAAATTCGACTATATTATTATTCTTTTCCAACTATTTCCCTTTAAGTTAAAGTATTTGCACAGTTCTTACATTGTTTTGTTCCACTTTTAGATGTGATTATATAACACTTTTTATCTTAACTTCCAGTTTTCAACAAACATATTATTCACATTATCAGTTAGTAATAATCTACCTTATATATATTGAATTAAAAACACTGTTTTTGATAAGTTATACAACTGTACTAAAATGGTAGAAAGTATGTTTGTGAGGTTTAGATCAACTGAACTTTAGGTGTATTTTAATGATTTGATAATGTACAAGATAAATCGTAAGCAAATCTGACATATGGTATACAAAAAATAATTTGTACGTTCATGTTGTTTATGATATAGATGATAATAAAAACATACCAGTATATGTTCAAAACTAATAATATGTAATTTGATAGTCAAATACTTTTGCAGTTGAAATCACGAACTGATCTTAACTAGATCATTATGGAAAACGTGAAAGTATTTGACAGCTGTTTCTTCCTAGTATGGGACTGTTTGTAATTTCAACCGTGAAAATACTACCATAAATATGCCTTACAAATAATAATTAGGTTTTTCACTAGTGACTAGCTACAAGATATAACTTCTAGAGTTATGGTTAGAAGCAGTTATTCACCGCGTGCAATGTATGAAGGGTTGCACAAGATTGTGGATTGATTGAAGTTGGACATTAACACCGTTGAAAGCCAGCTTGATTCACACGTGTTTACAGTTCACGAGTCTTAGTTAAGCGTCCGATAATTGTTGAGACTAGTATTTTAGATATTATATTAGTTAAACTAATCGCTCTATGGTTGTCACAGGATGATTTTGACCATCTTATGTATTGGGACGATAAGTGATTGTGACCAGTCAGATGGAATAACGTCTAACTCCCAGATCTTAGCTAAAATATTAGTCAACCTAATCGCTAAAATTGGACCACCATCCTTAAAGACCTCTGGAGTCAATTCTTCTAGACCAATACTTTTCTACGTTTCAGATTAACTATAGCATTTTGAACTTCACCTAGAGTTGGGGGACCCACTTCAATTTTCCATTCACACTGTCTGGAGATGGAGGGTAGTTGTAGTGTAGCTGAAGGCCAGCTGAACTATTCTCTGAAATGTTCCGCTCATCGTTCTAAACGTCTGGACTAAGAGCAGATGAGAGTGACGTCTTTTTCCGAAATAGTCTGACTTACACTGGACTTATTAAGTCCAGTTTCTTTTATTAGTCTGTAGAGCTGTCTTGTGTTCCCTATAGCCACCGCCTTTCCATCTCTTTTGCTTTCGCTGCCTACCACTGCTCACGGTCGTTCCTTAGACTTTTGGTCAACCTAGATATGATTTGTTTTCGCTTTTCATCGTGTTCAGAGCCTGATGGGATGAGTTTAAGAGAATCCATCAGTGGAATAGACCTTGAGGAAATCCATTGGTTCTTTGTAACCATGTGGTTTAAATCACTGATAGATGTTACCGTTGTTTCCGCAGCTGTTTGTATATCTTTCCAAGCAACATCTGGATCAGCCTCGTTTTCAGAACTACCTAGTTGTGACCTCAGTTGTTCCTGGAACCTATTTTGGGTTTCCTCGTTACTCAACTCAGTTCTAACGGGTCTTTTAAGTGTGGCTTTTTTGCGTCCAGTGAGGCGCAAGCAGATGCGTGCCCGTATTAGGGCGTGGTCGGAGTCCAAGCAAGTACTCCAGAATGAGCGACAATGTTCTACCGGCCCTCTCCAACGATGACTGATGGCAATATGGTCTATTTGAGTCCATCGTTGGTTTGGTGCAGGGTGTCGCCATGTTAGACGAAGTTTCTCCTTATGCTTAAAATTTGTGTTTGCTAAAAGTAAACGATTGTCTGAGCACAGTTGCGGCAGACGATCACCATAATCTGTTCTCTGTTCCGGAATACTAAAATACTCTTTTTATTTGGTTTAAGCCACCTAACTGGGCATAAAATTTACCTGCTACGAGTACTATGTCTGAACATTTAGCTTTCTGAAGAAGTTCAGATAGCTTTCTGTAAAATTCATCTTTCACTTCATCTGAGCTGCGGTCGGTGGGAGCGTAGGTAGAAACGACAAAAAGGCAACGACGCGTGTCCCTATCCTTCCGAGTTCTTACTAATCCGTTTAGCCGAACAGCACATAGACGACTGTTGACGGGGATCCACTCTAATAGTGCTTGTTCGGCCCTCACTTCTGAATTAACTACTTCTATGAATTCGGTGTTCATCTTGTGCTAATGAGGTATGGGAACTTGAACCGATGTATATGTGTGCCTGGTCCTACGTTGTAGTTGACTAACTGACTGATGTTTTCTACAAGTATTCCGACTGGACGAAATATTCCGTCTTATTAAAGAATTCTTATCAATCTTCAATAAGTCTCAAATTCAATACTTATTTCATTTATTTCTGTTTCACAAACTCAATCTCAATTACATTAAATTGTGTATAAATAATGAGTTACATTTTTCTTTTTACTTACATTCATTTAAATACATAACTATTTATGATTGAATTAAGTAAGTCAGCCACAACGTAGGACCAGACGCATATATGCATCGGTCCAAGTTGCCACACCCCATTAGCACAAAAAAATGAACATCAAATCCAAAGAAGCAATTAACTCAATGGTGTAATACATAAAAGAAAGATTGCACATAAGGATATACTACAGGAAGAAAGTTAGTTTGTAAAAAGAAAGATATGAAATAATTTAAATATCATAGTTTAAGGGAAGACAGAGAGTGTATACACATACGCCATTGTGATGGATTCTGAATCATGTCACCCAGTTCCCAAGCATTGGATACGATAGTCATGCGGACCCCAAACAAGTAGTTTGCATCTACCAACATGGCTCAGACCAGATGTTAGTGTCTTCAAGCACCGATACCACGTTTTGGTTTGGCCACTCCTAACTTTCTTCCAAAATTCCCCAACACCAGTAAGCATTGCGCATCGTGGTAACCAGTGTTCAAGCATACGCAACACGCGGCCCAATCATCTCAGTCGATGAAAATTCACAACCTCATCAACTGATTAACCATCATCCCCTAATACCCTACGTCTAACCTCACTATTACTTACCCGGTGATCGCAACACATGTGAGCAATATTTCTAAGGCATCTGTGGTCAAATACTGGCAGCTTACGAGTATCGTTGACTCTTATTGACCACGTTTCGCAGCCGTAAAGTAGGACAGAACGAACTGCCACGCAGTATACTCGTCCCTTAATTGATAGACGGATATCTCGCCTTCGCCATAGGTGACGTAAGTTGACAAAAGCCAATCGAGCTTTCTGAATCCGTGCTGAGATTTCGTCAAACACCAATCCATTAGGGCTGGTCAGACTTCCAAGATAAGTGAAGTTGTCGAAGCGTTCGACTACTTCACTCCCTACCCTCAGTTCAGCTGTTGACGCAAACCAGTCCTGAAGCAACAACTTGCATTTAGAGGGAATTAAGTAAGAGAAATTAATTTAAAACATTTATGATGTTATTCACGCCATCATCATCATCATCATCATCATCATTATTGTATTTATTAAAACAAAACAAGAACAACAACAACAATCCCCAAATATAAAAAAGAAACAAGCAAACATTATTACAAGCTGAATGAAACTATCATAATAATATTGTGTAACTTTTGATTATATATTTCAACTAAATGAATAACTAAATAAATAAGTTGATCCATTTGATAATGGAAGTATACAGTATTATAGAATGTTTAATTGGGCAAACTGTTTATTATTTTTTTCAAAGAATTAATCATTGTATACAATATTTTATCCCATTTGCAATTAACAATATGATCCTTCTTTTTTCAATATAGAATTAGTAAAACATACATAAAAAGATAAAGAAGAAGAAGAAGAAGAAACAAACTGATAGTCAAATAAGCATGCAAATATTGTTGACGGCTTTAAAAAAGATCAATGATCCCCATAAAGGTGTAAATGACAAGTGAGAGATTGTTCAATGATTAGTGTAATACACATTATATATATATAATATGCATTGAATTTGAATTATTTAGGTAATTGTCGTCTAGTTCTATAACCACGATAGGTTGCTTGTATTTTAATGGCAGCTAATTCAGGATTATATAAATCATGCAGATGATGATGATGATTATTCTGTTTATCTTGATTGATACATTTATATTCTGAATAATTTTGATTTTCTTTATTTGATAATAATAAATTTTGTTGAGAATGTAATAATGGAGCTAATGATTTTCTTGTTTTATAACCACGATAACCAGCTTGAATTTTAGTGACTGCTTTCACTTTCCCATCAATATCATCATCATCATTATCATTTTCATTCTTATTGATTCTATTGATTTTATCATAATGATAAGAAACATTTTTAATTGGTGTATATTTCTGTGTAATATTATCATCACGTAATGATTTTCTAGTTAAATAACCACGATAACTAGCTTGTATTCGTGTGGCAGCATTCTCTAAATCATTATTATTTCTTAATGGTGATTGATGTGGTGTATATAATTGTCTATTAGATGTTACATTATAATTTGATGATGGTGATGAAGAATTCAATGATAAATTACCATATTTTTTACGTGTACAATAACCACGATAACCAGCTTGAATTTTAGTTGCAGCTAATGATTCTTTATCTAAATAGTTAGGATGTTGATAAGAGTAAGGTGTTGTTGTTGTTGTTGTGGTGGTGATGGTGCTGGTGTTGGTGTTGGTGACGGTGATAGGTGTTCTTGATATTGGTGTAGATCTATTCGAATGAGTTGATGACATATTCTATAAAAAGAAAACTGAAAAAAAAAACTATATTAACAGAATAAAAAATAACTGATGGAAAACGTATGAAAAATTGTAGTAAACAAACTTGGGAGATGCCTTCTTAGTATTTTTTAAAATTATTTATACCCCGTATACAATTAATAAGAAGTAACGTGAGATCAGTATTACCAGTTTACATTATCGGTTAATAAAGCAGAAATGTTTCTGCAACGAATTTTTCATTGATTATATCATATATTTTGTTTGTTGAAGGAATTAGCACATAATGTTTATTCACTTTAATAATTGAATTCATGAGTGGACTGAAGCTAGACCACCATGGAAAACCTTGAAGCACTGGACGACTGTTTCATCCTAGTATAGAACTTCTTAGCAGCGAGCATCCACTGTCCCACCCCCCTAGAGATTCGAAACCAAGACATATCAGGCTCGTATGCGAACGCTTAACTTCTAGACCACCGGCATCCAATAATCTTGATGTCTAATTTTAAATAATTCACGAAAATGCGCCACCGTCCATTATTGTTTTAAGTGAATTACTATCTGATGTGTAGCCGAGGATGATAATCATTGGTTGTCTGCTTAGTCAAACATGTAGATAGTTTGACAGCTGTCAGATGAGTTATATATTCCTCTATCCTTATTATTATTGTGACTCACTTATTATTGATTGTTCATCGGTATTGGGTTGTGTCCGTTTTCAGTGTGCAAATATATTTACGTTCTAGTCAGGCTAATCACATGTTCTTTATCGTCTGAGTTGTGTTAAAGTCCTGTAGAAAGAATAGACAATTGAAGGGAATCTAGTGTAGATATTCGTCTAAGGTAAATTAACGTCCCATACGTGGAAACCCAACCCTTATAACATTAGACGGAGTAAAACCGAACGTTATAACAATTGGCGACGGGGTAAAAACAAAGAACCAAGGGTACAAATCACTAGTTATAACAATTGGCGACGGCGGTTAGAACGGATCTACGCTTATATATTCAGTTGAAGTGGATTTTATAACAATAAAATCGATGATCTGAAAACTTTATGGCAACAGCAATATTCTCTTGTCGAATTATTGGTCAAAAGTATGTCACTATCCCCAAGGGCCAATGTATCTAATTCCACTATGACTCGGGATTCTATTGCGAATTCAACAAATGCATTTACATTTGATCCAGAATGTGGAATTACTTTTGAGGCATGGTTTAAACGCCATGAGGATTTGTTTATTAATGATTGTAAAGAGTGGGACTAAGGTTCGTAACTCAGGTTATTATTACGCAAGCTCGGAGTGTCGTCACATGAAAATTTCTGTAATTTTATCCTCCCAATGAAGCTAACCGAAATAACCTTCAGAGAAATAGTAGAGTGCCTGACACGTATATTTGGTGAACGATCATCTGTTTTTCACACTAGATACCAATGCCTCTAGTTTGTGAAAAAACCACAGGACGATTATATGACGTACGCAAGCATCGGGAACCGGGAATGTGAGTGGTTCCGTTTACAGGAAATGTCGTCATATTAGTTTAAATGCCTTATTTTTGTCTCTGGTTTACAATCTGCAGTAGAGATGCAGATATCAGAACACGGAGTTTAGCAAGAATCGAACAAGATTCTAATATCAGTCTGCAATCAGTATCTGAAGAATGTCAAATAATGGTTAATTTGAAGCATTACACAAATCTAGTAAAAAGGAACAATGAACATGTGGAAGTTAATGTTTTGCGGAAATCTTTTAATGAAAATAAGGATCAGTACTCTCGGCGAATTCCAAATCAAATGTAACATTAGTGATAAAATCTTTTGAATGAACTAAACTTATATATAATTTAAAAATGAATAGTGAACTCAGTACTGTTTGCTTCAAACAACATCGCGTTATACACTTAGCCATTGAATCATAATAGCCACTTGCTTGTACATTGGAGTGAAGTTTAAATTCACTTGGTATTATTTACTGCGATCTCCCATTGATGTTTTAGACTGCAATTGATCAGTCTCTTATTGACATACGTGCATACTCTACGGATTGCCTCGATATTGCCTTAATTCACAAACATTATAAACAAAGATAGATAGTGGTTAGCAATGGGATCCAGTTTGACGCGAATTTCGTCCATTTTGAGACTCGTCAGCTGGATATACCTGATTCTCAGAGTTGATGTTCATTCCGGGACTCGGACGCAGTACCGTTCACTTCAAACACCATCTCGTTATCCACTTAGCTACTGTGTTTATCTTTGGTTAGGATGCCTATGAATTAAGACAATATCGAGATAATACACACATATGCCAATAAGAAACTGATCAATTGCGATCCTAAACATCAATGGAAAGATTCAAGTAAACACTACCAAGTGAATTTGATCATATTGTTTTCAAATATAATCTACCAATACTGTCAGTAGTTTTTCAGATCAATTTTTTCTCTCATTGTGTCATATAAATTTATGAACTAGATTAGTACTCTCAGAATAGAATTTTGTCCAGAGTTAGCTCAGTTAATTAGGACAACCTAGAAAATGTCACTTGATAACTGACCAAATTATTTAATTCTCTTGGTTAAAATAGTGAATTCCTCGCTTAATTGTACTGAGATGAATATCGTTAGAGATATGTTTACAGTTATCTATTTTTATCAAAATGGAGGTTTGTGGAGATTTTAGTAACTTTAGTAATTAAATTCATGAATCAATCTAAGCTAGATCACTATTGAAAACGGCAGTCTAGCATAGTCTAACATAAATCAACTCGTGAATTCAACTATTAACACATCTGTTAAATAATTGTGAGTTATAAGATTGTTTTAAGATGGATGAATTTATGGACTAGTTAATATAATACATAAATTCTTACATATAGTTTATATCCTTGGATCGTGCTCCACCAACTTTCTTCTTCTTATTATTATCAGTTAAGGGGTTGTGGAGACTATTTTTATTGAGATCATGAACTGATTGATATTAGACCACCATTGGAAACCTGGAAGCACTGGACAGCCGTTCCGTCCTATTGTAGGACTCCTCAGCAGTGCGCATCCACGATCCCGCTCACGGGATTCGAACCCAGGGCCTTCAATCTGGCGCTCGAACGCTTAACCTACTGGACCACCGAGCCAGCCGGTATCCAGTGATGTTAATGTCTAACCTCGGCCAATCCATGAAATCGCCTGGCCATCTCCCATTATACTGAGGTAGACACCTGTTTCTACCCGACATGGATTAGTTCCACTGGTCACGGCTTCTTATTATTATTTCACTTAACGTTATTATTCAATTACATTCAAAAAATATATGAATATAATTGATCTACTAAATTGTTATTAAGTAGTTCAAATTATTGGCCTAAAAATCTAGAGATATCTCTCGCATCTATGCACACATAAACCGACATGTATAGAATCACGCTCGAATATTTTAGAGTTTCTACTATTTTTTGGATTATTTTGGACTATTATTATTATTATTATTATTTTTTGTGTAATTATACTATGGATATGTTTACACATTATTTTGTAATCACATGTTTTTGCTACACACATTCTGTGATAACATGACGAATGCAAATTTTGTAACCTAAAAGAATAAAACCAATAAACTACACCTTACAGGAAATTTCATTCCATAATTTATTTTTATATTCTCTCTTCCTATTTGTTCGTATATACATATACAGTTGTGTGCATGTATGTGTGTGTGCGCTAAAATTCTTTTGTGTTCCAGATGAAAAATCAATAAACCGTGACCTTGAATTAAGTAAATTCTGTTGAAAAATAAAGCAATAAACATCTTTTGAACAACATCCATAACTCATCATTATGATTCAGGGTTCCATTGTGAACAGAATTTAAAATTGATTGACTTATCTAGATGAAATGCTAAGATACTTCAGTTTTTCATGTATCGATTCTATGTAGTTTTATCATAATGATCAGTAATTAGTGATGTTATTTATATGATCGATAGCTTCTGACTTTGAATCTTGCGAGGCAGGATGATGGATTCGCACTGCTGAGGAGTCCCACAATAGGAAGAAATGGGCTATTGAGTGCTTCTAGGTTTTCCATGGTGATCTAGGTTCAATTAACTCATGAATTCAATTATTAAAAAATAACTATTACTTAATTTAGTAGTAAGAGAAACTAGTAATTGAAAACAAGGAACTGATAAATAAAGTTGTATAATATAACAAAAACTTTACTCTTTGACATAATGATATATTGATTGAATATATTCTGTTCATTATATAAGAAGAAAACAATTAATGTCAACCTCATATTTAAATAATTTATTGTCAAGTGAATCACAAGAGTTACTGGATAATTGACATGTAATTATTGACCTAATTGAATGTTTTCTTTTTTGTGTTAGAGAGATAATTTAGGATTATTATTAGCTTTATTCTGTATTATATTTCTGGTATAATATAGAATAATTCTCAGTAAAAAGTTCCTGTTTCTTACCGCTTAGTCGATCCTGACGATAAACATTGAGTGATTGTCAGTTAGATGTTAACAGTCGAGTACACCGAACAATCTACATTCGTTTCGGTGCATATTGCCAGCAATTACGATGTTACTGATTGGGCACTTTATTAATTTGTTACAATGAAAGGTTGTACACTTTTTTTTTAAACGCACTTGATGAATAGGTTATACGATTAATAAGCATAATGATGTATTCAAGCAAACAAGAAAACAGATAACTTGTTGAAATATTGATATGGCAGAAACAGATAGTCCAGATATTCAAGTAGACCACGTTAGTTTTAGCATGTGAACCATTATAGTTCTCACTAACAATTCTATTAGAGATTAGCTGCAACATTTTCACATATAAAACTATGTACTTAATGATTAGACCCCTGAATCGTTTTACGCTTTTAAAAAAAATAATTTTAATCAATACATGATATAATATGACCATTGTCCAATGATAACTGTTTCAGTTCAACTATAGCTAAGCTTCATCATTCATGACTAACTGATTTCATAACAATAGGTTTACAGTTCAC